CTAAGAAAAAAATATTAAAGCATTAAGCAAAATGTTAATGTTACTTTACTCTTCAGTATTTGCACATTTGGCTCCAATGGATGGGCTACAATCCCTTGGTCACACAAATGACCCTGGTTAAACTCATTGGGCCTCAAAATGTAACAAGATATTAGTTTGGGAAAAGGAATTGTAGTTAGGAGGTGGCTTTGTGTGTGTGTGTGTGTGTGTGTGTGTGTGTGTGTGTGTGTGTGCTCGCGGTAATAGAGATGAGAAAATAGAGGATTGTAAGAGTTACACTAATCAGAAAATACTATATACATATATAAAATTGTCAAAAAGCAAATTCAAAAAAAATTAAATTTTTAGACTATACTAAGAATTTACAGAAAATCTATTCCAACTTTCTTGACTTCTGTACCTAAATATTAACCCTTGTTCCTTTGTAAATTTAACGGATTTATCCTGGATAGAGTTTTCATTTCCGGCAGAAATGTTAATTTACATACATATTTTATCTTTGGAAGTACAGATGAAGAGCAGGACTCCTTTTTATAACTGAATTGCATTCTTTATTTACAATTTATTTTCCATTTTTAGGCTAAATTTTTTGTTTAAGCATTACATTTGAGAGGAATTTAGGGATTTCTGTATATTCATTCTTTTTCACTGAAAGTTAAAATGGTTCTGAATTCTTACTTAGGTTTGTGAGTCATGTACTGTCTATTGGAAGCTTTGTGTCAGTGTATCCAGAAAAATTGGCTACCAAATTTGTAGACAAAACAGAATGGATCAAAGGTATGTCCTCATGACATGTTTATTTCTCTAAGAATTAGACATCTCAAACTAATTGAAAGATCTCTTTCTTGCTACCCACTCTTAATATGCCCTTTACTACCTTTAAGTCATTTAAAAAATTTCCCACAACCAAATACTTACTGGAAAACACATGCAGGTCAACATTCTTCATGACCCATCTTGGTGATGCGGAGAATGAATTTAAGAATCATCAATTAAAATTTTTTTTTTGATTCAAAATATTTTATAATGATAGGTGTATATATTTTGAAAACCACATTTACATTGTATATTTGTCAATAAAACACTTATTTTCTGTAATTGTGTCATGCCACCTTAAATTTTCTCAATTTCCCTGACTCTGCTTCTCTTCTGACAAGCATATAAAAGGACAGCAGTAGTTTTATGGGGTGAAACCTTCTATTTTGCTTATGCATATATACATAAAATAATGCATTTAAAATGTTTTCCCTTCTTTATACAAAAGACAGTACACTGTTGACACAATTTTTTATTTCTTTTACCAGATAGTAGAGCTTGTCTTGTAACTATGGAGAAAAGTCTTTAATAGCTTCATCATTTTCTATTGCGTGGTTAATTCTTGATTCTTACTGCTGACCACTTAGGATTCTTTTCTGCTGCAGTGAATTTAATACTATTTTCCATACAAAGAAATACCAGATATTATTTTCATAGCCAACAGGGATTTATTGTATTTCATAGGAGAGATATAAGAATGAGAAGTATATTTTTAGATTTCCCAGACGTGGTAGACACATCTTTAATTTTGATTATCCTTCATGTGGGCAGTACTAAGTTTTGCTACCAGCTTAAGTGAGAGTGTTCTTCTTTCATAATAACACCAAGATGTTATCAAGTCAGCAAATAAAAATGTAAATGAAATTAGAATTTTTAAATTAATCTTTTTAGTAAAAATATGAATCATAGAAGTGTAGATCTCTGCTTTGAAATGCAGTTCTTTCTGGAAACTGTAGCTTGAGTTATGGTAAAATTTTTATCTTTAAATGTTTAAATAGGAATGTAGGTTGTCAAGAGATACTAGTTTTGTATTTTTCTTGAAAAGATTTGGTCTTCTGAAAGTACTTCTTAATTTAAAAAGGGTTTTCATTCTCTTTGTATATATTTTCTAATTTAAAGTAAATCTTGTGAGTTTTGATCTGTTAATAGAAGGTTAATCTTTCTATCATATGAAGAGAAACCAGACTATTCATTTGAGTCTCAGGCCTTCAGGCCTGTTGCTGACCTATGAACTTCTACTTTTTATGATCTATCAGGTAGTAATGGTTTTCTGTTTTTTGCTTTTTGTTGTTGAGTTTTTCTGTTTTTGTTTTTTGTTTTTATTTTTTATTTATTTGAGACAGGGTTTCTCTTTATATCCTTGGCTGTTCTAGAACTTGATGTGTAGATCAGGCTGGCTTTCGAACTACAAGATCCACCTGCCACTGCCTCCTGAGTACTAGAATTATAGGCTTGTGCCCACCACCTGGCTCTGTTTTTTACTTTATTTGAAAAAACAATTATGCTGGAGTTTGAAAACAAAATAGGACTTTGTACATGGTAGGCAGGTATTTTATCTCTCAACCACAACTATAGCCCCTTTATATTTTTAAATAGTGGAAAAAAATAACAAAAGACATTATTCCAGGAGTACAGACTATAGTTCTCATTTTATTGGAACATAGCTGTGTCCAATATCTTAGTATTATCTGTGCCTATTTTTATGAACAGTAGCAGAATGGAGTAGTCCCAAGAGTGACTAGACATCCCACAGAACAGAGTCTTGGTTTTTCATAGAAAAAAAAAAAAAAAATGCTGATCTGTATTTCAAATCAGCTACATTTATTTTACCTGTTATAATAAATGTGCAACTAAGATATTTTTTTTTCTTCTTCTTTTTTTGCTGTTGTTTTTTTGAGACATGGTTTCTCTGTGTATCAGTTCTGGCTGTCCTTGAACTTCCTTTGTAGACCAGGCTAGTGTTGAACTCACAGATTTACCTGATGCTGCCTCCAAGTGCTGGGATTAAATTTCAGCTCATTATTTGTTTTCTTTTTATTTATTTTACATTTTAATAAAAATATAATTATATCACTTATCCATTTTCTTTCCTCCTTTTAAACCTTCACATGTTACTCCTCAATTCTCAAATTGATACCCTCTTTTTCTATTATTATTGCTCTCTTTGTCTCTCATACATACACACATACACACATATATATATGTATATATATGTGTGTATGTGTGTATGTATGTGTGTGCCTGAATGTGCACACACACACACACACACACACACACACACACACACACACACACACAATCTAATGAGTCCATTTTTGTTGTTTGTGTGTATATGATTTCAGGACTGACCACTTTGTATTGGATAACCAGTCAGGAAGCTCATCCCTGGGAGAGGCTAATTCTCCCTCTGCAATCATTAGTTGCCTATAGTTCTTTGTCTAGGGGTGGGACCTGGTAAGATTTCCCTCTGCTGTGTTAGCATGTCTAATGATATTGTCATTGTTTGGGTCTTGTTTATCCAACCATTTTGAAGAGAGGCAGTCTTGGTATTCTGGCCCTTATAACACCTCTACCTCACAACCTTGTTCTGTGATGTTATCTGAGTCATAGAGTCTGGGAGCTGTGCTGCATATGTATTCATTCAGGCTGGGTTGCCTCACAAACCATTGATGTTTGCATTGTGTTCAGTTGTGGATTTTTTAATAATGGTCTCTATTTGTAATAGAGGGAAGCTTTTTTTGATGAGACATGATAACTATACTTACCTCTGCGTATAGGGATAATGTTTAAACTGTAGATGGGAATTATCCTGGCTAAGTGGTGAGAATAGATTCTCTTCTAGACCTCACTAGTCCTGGGTAGTTGGCTAGGTTTCTAGGACCAGGCATGATTTCCCTCCTGTTGAATGGGCTTTGATTCCATTTAGACAGCTTTTGGTTACCACTCATATGTGGAGTGCTGTCATTGCACCTTTATAAATATCTTGCCATGCTGGTCATTGTAGTGCCTCATAGGTGTCATGGCTGAATAGAACTATTAATTATTTCCCTCCCTTGTCAGCTTGCATAGTACTTTCTGGTACTATGGAAGCTAGACTGAAGGAAGGAGGATTTCAGGTTAGATCCAGTTCAAATATTAAGCTTGTTCATTGATAATTTCATACACGAACATAATACATTCTGATAGCTCTCCTCCCCCCCCGCCCCCCGTCATTCTCTTTTATTTTCCTTTTATTTTTTCATGACCATTTAGTTTAACCAAGGCCATATGTCTGACCTTTGTATTGTAACTGTCTATTGGAGCCTGCCAGAGTCATTTTGTTTGGAATATAATAGCTTCTTGCATTATATTTTTCATGGATACTAATAGATTGAATGTTAAATGTATCATTTACTTTTATAACTTTAAATGTCAGGTGTTGTCAGCAGGGAGATGGTTATGAATCATCTCTTTCTTTTCTGTGTTGCTTAGGGTCTGATGAGTAGCAGCAAAGAAGAAATGCGTGAATTGGCAGCTTTGTTCTATTCTGTGGTTGTGTCAACAGTGTCCGGTAGTGAATTAAAGTCAATGATAGAACAACTTATAAAGGCGACAAAAGACAATCATGTATGTAATCAGTTTTATCTTCATTCTTCTTTATTACTTAAATAAAATAACTTTGTATTTTTACAAAATATAGGAACCCATATTTGAAACTTGGGCACGGCCATTAATCCTGGGACAAAGTTTTCTTTTTTTATGCCAACAGATTTATCCTATTTGAGATCAAAGTACTGTTATGACAAGACTCAACCCCTTTGCTAGAAAGGATCATTTTCTCCTTTTGCCTGTAAGACAGTGAAGAAATATGAAATTTTGACATTTTGTTTCTACTCTGTTTTTCTCTCAGTTCTGCAAATAGTTGAATCTTGCAGGACTGTCTTCCTGGACTAGGAAATACACTTATAAGAGTGGACTAACCTGATTTAGTTGGAATTTTTGAGCTTCGGTTTCACTGTGTAGTTCAGGCTTGCTTTCAAACTTTATTCTCTTGCCTTAGCATTTGCTACCATACTCAGATTTGTTGTCATTCTTTTTCAGTAGGTGATAGGGGTTTACAAAGTATCTGATTGTACTTTTTAGTTTTTAGGTTTCCATTTATAAAGTAAACTTACAAATTCTTAGCCTTTTTAAGTAAAAATTGAGATAGATGTGTTGATTCAGTCTAACTCTGTGTTTGAAGAGTACTGTTTTAGGTAATGTGTACATTGTGGTAGGCAATATTTGGGAATCCCTACAACTGCTTGATGTTATTAACACTCCCAAAAACCCTATCTCTGCTGCCACTTAGTACCTGCAAAAATACTTACAAAAAAGCAAACTTGATTAATAATATTGTCTATCTTGTATTTGGAGGTTTTAGCAGGTAGAAAATGACTGCTCAGTGTATTTTTTTGGCAGTATGGAGAGATTATCCTTGAATATTATGATAATTAGCTTCTATAGTGGTATAAACAAGAAGAAAGTATAATGGGTTGGAGTGATGTTCAGTGGTTAAGAGCACTTGTTGCTAGGTTCAATCCCAGTACCTCCAAGGTACTTCACAACCGGACTCCAGTTCCAGGGATCTAATACCCTTATCTGGTTTCTAGGGACACTGTGTGAATATGATGCATAAACATACATTGAGGCAGACACTGATATACATAAAATAAAAATTAAATGAAAAGAAAGTATAAGGTCTATAGATGCATATTTTAAAAGTTACCTGACCCAAAGTTGGAGGTTGTATGAAATTTGATTATCTAAATCTGGACATGAGCTTAACTTTTTAGCATTCTGTGTTATAAACTCTTGTTGCTTAAGATTGATTCATTGGCTTCCAATAGAATCATTTTGTTTTTATAGTCTTAGGTTTTATCAGAGACATTATTTTAACAGCAGTTACTTCAGTATATCTTTTCACATGTGAGGTAGAAACAGTACTGTTGTGTTATTAAATTCAGAGCCCTGAGGTACAGCATGGATCCTTGCTTGCATTGGGATTCACTGTGGGAAGATACTTGGCTAAGAAGAGAATGAGAATGGCAGAGCAGCATGACCTGGAGACAGATGCTGATCTCTTGCCTGAGCAAGAAGATCTCATTCAGAATGCAACAGAGATAATAGGTTAGTATCTGTACTGGCTTGGCTGCTACAGGGTTTGAATTGTGTTATTTTTTAATATGGTATTTATGTTTCCTCTTATAACATTGTTCTTTAAAGGCACAAGCTTTTCCATAAACTAATCTATTTATCCATGCTTTTGTTTGTATTCCAGTGGCATTTATGTTAATATGGAAACACTAACATTCAAGGATACTTAAGTCCTATTGTCATGGTGTCTTACTATAACATAAATAACAATAGTGGTCAGCCAGAAAACATTATAGACCTTGGTTTTGTATTGCTGTTTTGAAAAAGATTAATATATAACTGATTGCTTTAAACCATAAGAATAATTAGTATGCTACTCTCTCTGTGTCTAAATTTGCTTACAGGTTCATTTTTAGACAGTACATCACCTCTGTTGGCAATTGCTGCCTGTACAGCCCTTGGTGAAATTGGCAGAAATGGTCACTCTCCCCCATCCCCAGTGAAGGATCTGGATTTACCAAACTGCATCTGGTAGAAAGCTTACTGAATAGAATCCTTCCACTAAAGAAACTAATAAGGCAAGCCTTTTTTTATTCTTTCCCTTCTAGAATTCTTCTGTGTTTTTATTCCTAGTTGTACAAACTCAAAAAACCAAGTTATTGTGAGTATAGTCATCTGTCCACATTCATCCATGCACACTGCAGCAGAATAAAGTTTTACTAATGTATTTAAAATGATAAAGATGTAATTTTGATAAAGGTATTTCCTTTTTTAAGTTTGCTTTTAAGGGAGACATGTATAAACTGTTTTGCATGTCATCTTTTGACCCAGTTATTCTAATTTAGCTCCTTAACAGTTTTAATTTCAGTAAAATTAAAAGTGCATTTAAGAACCATTTTTTTGTCATGCAAAAGCTGATAATAAAATGCTCAGTTTCACGATTTGTATAATTTTAAGGTAGGGCTAAATCTTACTGTTTAACAGTAAGTTTGGTTTGAAGAAATGTAGGTGTTAGGAAGCAGTGTGAATAATCCGAGGGAAAGAATAGTTGTAGTTTTTTAAGTTGAGATAACTTTTCATAGACTTTAAAACATTCTTTGTAATTAAAGTACTTGATGTTGAAAATTAAGATGCTTTATTGAGTAGAAAAATACCAGTTTACTTAAGTTTTTTAAAAAAACATTGTAGTCTTGTTCTTGGTTTAGCTGCTATTTAAAACCAACATAATTAACACTGTGTAGTTTTCTTTTTAGCAATCATTAGCCAGTTTTTTGTTAGCCAAGGAATATGCTATAGTTTTGTCATGTATTAAAATTAAGTCTTTAAAAAGATAAGGTGTAATAGGCATAGTTGTCATTTTTGTGTGAGATAACAAAGAGTTTCAGAGAGCTGATATAACTTGCCCAAGAGCTACTAAGTTGTATAGATAATTTTGTGGCTTTAAACCACATTTCCAGCCTTGACAGTTTAAATACTAAGCATAAGGCTTTCTTTTTTAATTTTTATTTTTTATAGGTATAGATCCTTAATGGGCTTATTTTTCTGTTTTTAATGTCTTATAATACTGTAATATTGGGCACTTTTGTAATAATGTAGGCATTGGTATATTAGGCATATTGATTGCCTCTTCCTGTCATCTCACTTGGAAATACTGTTTATTTAATTTATTTAAAAATTTAAAAAAAGAATCTGTGTTCTTCCAGATGAAAGAACGAGCAATCCAAACATTGGGCTATTTTCCAGTTGGGGATGGGGGTTTTCCCCACCAGAAACTCCTTTTGCGAGGCCTGATGGATTCTGTGGAGGTATTTATAGTGACTAAAATAAAGTTTTTTTTTTGTTTTGTTTTTTTGTTTGTTTGTTTGTTTTTTAGTTTTGCTTACTCTGGAGATTTTAAAATTTTGTTTTATTGGGGGTTTATTAATTTCTTTTATGTGTATGCCCATTCTTTTTGTGTCCCTCATGCAGTGCCCACAGAGGCCAAAAGAGCACCAGTGTTGGGTCCCCTGAAACTGTAGTTACAGATGGTCTTTAATCGTTACATGGGTGCTGGGAATAGAACCTGAGTTCTCTAGAAGAATAGTCAGTATTAAACACTGAGCCGTCTCTATGGCCCCAACTTTGAGGTTTTATAAAATAAACATTCATTCCTTTATCACGTATTTAATTTTGAGTGGTAGCTTTAGGCTTGTTATTGTGTTAGACATAGCTCTATGAATTTTATGTTTGGGAAAGACTCATTATTTTTGAGTAGAACATGGTATAGTAGAAATAAAAGAAAGAAACCAATTTAGCCCTCTTTGGAGAGTTGGGGCTGGTATTCTAGTTGGCTTTTGAGTTACTGATGCCCATTGTAGTGGGAAAAGACCTATAGTTAATGACTACGAGTATATAGTGATGTGTCTTAGCATGACCTAATCTTGCCTCTGCCTACCTCTTGTTTTGAGTTTTCTGAAAGCCTCAAGTTTCCTTTTCAGATTGTTGCTGTGTTTCTTGAAAACCTTTTTGGCATTTAAACTAGATTAGATTCTTTAGTTAAAATGACTTTGAGCCCTTTCCCCTATGGTGTTTATCACATCTCACTATTCTCTACTGAAGGCAGTGTCTGCTTTGTTCATCATTACACAAGTGTCTAGCAGTGTGATTGCAAAGGTATATTGTCATAAATACTAGTAAAAATACGTGAATAGGAAGGTATTGAAGGCAGGAGAATTTTAAAGGAGTGTGTGATTGTGTCAGAGAATTCTGGTATAATCTGCTTAGATGGGAAGTTACAACTGAGCTTTGATGGGTGGGAGGAAGGAGATACACTTTAGTTAAGGGTAAAGGATTTAAGGATTGGAGATAACTGAGTAAGAGAATTGAAACTGAAATTGAAACCTAGCTTCATTTGTTTCCTCTCTGTGGAAGAGTAAATCCAGGGACTTGCCCATACTAAGAGTGCACTCTACCACTGAGCTGCATCCCCATTCCCATGTAATGTTTTCAAAGTGAATTATACCCTTGCCAGGGTCATCAGATGCCAGTTGTCGTAGTTAATTTTCAATTGCTGTTACAAAACATTATAAGCAAGGCAGCTTATAGAATAGAGAGTTTATTATAGTTCAGAGGGTGAGTCATGACTATCATGGCAGCAGGCAGCCAGACACAGGCACTAGAACAGTAGCTGAGCTCATATCCAGATCCATAAGTGTGAGTTAGAGAAAACTGACTTGGAATAGCCTAGTTCCAAAACCCACTCCTAGCGACACACCTTCTTTAACAAGGCCATACCTCTCAATCCTTCCCAAACAATTCCACCAAACTGGGGACCACCCATTCAAAGACACAAGTGTCACGAGTGGTTTTTTTCCCCAATAGCTGGTCTGGCCGCCATGCCAGCCCCAATTAACACACAGAGATTCTGTATTTGATATAATGCTGTTGGCCAGGTACTAGTTTCTTATTGGCTAGCTCTGTCTTAATTATTAACCCATTTCTATTAATCTAAGTATTTCCACATGGTCTCATCTTACTGGGGAGTGGGGCCAGTGTCTGGTCTCCCCAGTCTCTCCACACTGATCCCTCCTTACTACTTCCTCTTTCCTCCTTGTCTCCTAGTCCCTCCTATCTTGCTTTCCTACAGGCCAACAGTGCTTAATTCATTAACCAGTATGAGAAACATTTACAGAATGACGTCTCCCATCACACAAGCATATATGAGTCATTCTCATTCAAACCACAATGTCAGTTTCATTTCAATCTTCTGGAAAGAAGCTTATGTCTGCTTTTTCATATTTTTCTTTGTAATGTTAATTCTTGTTGTATTTAAGTAAATGAGAACTTATTGGATTCTTAACATATTTTGATGTCATTGTTTTAAAAATTTAGAAATACAAAAATGTTGAATCTGAGGACCAAAATCTGTTCATAGTCAACTAAAATAAAGCCCTAATGTGCTTTTAGGTTTATTTATTTATTTACACATTGTTTCTTTTCTTTTCTTTTTTTCTTTTTTCTTTTTTCTTTTTTTTTTTTTTTTTTTTTTTTTTTTTTTGGTGTTTAGAGATAGGGTTTCTCTGTATTACTTTGGAGCCTGTCCTGGAACTAGCTCTGTTCGAGGCTGGCCTTGAATTCACAGAGATCTGCATGCCTCTGCCTCCTGAGTTGTAGGACTAAAGGCGTGTGCTACCACCGCCCTGCTGCCTTTTGGCTTATTTTAACCTTTTTGTTTTTTGTGGTACTAGGATCACACCTATGAACTTACACATGCTAGACAAGTACTCTACTAGTGAATATCTGGCAAACCCTACCTTAAGCTTCATTATAGAAAAATTCAAACCTGTACAAAAGTAGAATAACAATATAATGATTCCCCATACAAAAGTAGAATAACAATATAGTGATTTCCCATGAACTTGCTTTATTTAATTACTAAGTTTCTTTATTTCCTTGCTACATAATACCCCTAGATATCTTATCATTCCTAAATTAGCTATCTATCGGGTTTTGATTTTGCTTTTTATTCCAGTTATGATGTCAATAATAGGAAACATGTAATTAATAGGTAAACAAATCGACGATTAAATTCCTGGTAAGGATCCTTTCCATTGAAATGTCTTTTCTTAGTTTTAAGGTCTGCCAGAGAAGCTTTTTTTTTTTTTTTTTTTTTTTTTTTTAATTTTTAATTTTTACATTCCAACATAGTTCTCACTCCCACACCACCTCCTGCTTGCCCTCGCTTCCTCCCACTTTCCCTAGCCCACCCCCAAGTCCATTACTCCTCTAGTAAGGGTTCCCATGTGGAGTCCACTTAGTCTGGCACAATAGGTTGGGCCAGGGCCAGGCCCCTCTCCCATGCATTATAGCTGACCATGGCATCTCACCATGGGGAGTGGACTCCAACAAGCTAGCTCAGGTACCAGGTTTGTATCTTCGTCCTACTGCTAGGGGCCCCTCTGATAGTTGAAGCTTTACAACTGTCTCCCACATATGGAGGGCCTAGTTCATTCTCCTGGAGTCTCCACAGTTGTATGTCTAGAGTTCATGAGTTTCCATAAGCTTGGTTCCAGAGGTTCCAGATGCTGTTAAGCTAAAGCCTTCAGCCCTGTTGATCTAGATTAGGAATTCTATGGTATGAGCACTTGGTGCTTCATGAAGATCCTAACACTAAATTAAGAATAACAGTACAAAGTGTTTTTGTGTAATCATTATGCTTACATCCCTCATATGTTTTCCATTCTTTATTGCGTCTTTCTTTTATACTTACTGTTTCACAGTAAACAGAAAATACCAGAGGGTGGTGAAGCAGATCCACTTCCAGTGTGGGGACAGTGATTTCTACTTGTAAAACAGCACCAAAATTTATGAATTAAAATGTAAATATTTGAGTATGTAGCTACATAGAATTTTGTTTGGCCTTTGAAGTTTTAAAAATAATGCATGGAACTCCTGTGTACCCTTTGATCTAGATTTACCAAGTTTTAGCGTTTTATATTTGCCTTTTCATCCTCTACTTTTTTTGGGACCTTTTGAGAGTAGCTTGCAGATATCGTAGACAAGTGTGAAGAGTTTTTATAAAAAAATGTAGTAGCCATTATTCATTCTATAGTTACTGTAGTCAGGCATACTAAATAGTGACAGCTTTGTCTAAATTAACATCATTTAATTCTTATGGTCTGATTAGGGGGAATGATGGGATGGGTGTTCATTTAGCCACCGAACATGGTGAGGCTCAGAAAAATTTAGATGAGGATTTGTAGCTGATGAAAAATTGAGTAGAATATGCATTGAGGTCTCTGTGGCTTTACCTTGAACCACCCAGACCCCTTTCGTAAGCCTATTATGTTTTCAAAGATCAACCACTGCATTTTGATTCTGTGCTGAGGGTGAGAAACCATCTCATGGTGGTGAGAAATGATCTTTAAATCCTTCCTAGTTCTCCAATCCTTTACTCCAACTGCTTTTGAACTGCTGAGTTAGCTTAAATGAGAAAAAAGAGTGAGAAGTAAGGTACAAAGCAGCTCTTTTATAGAAATAGATATTTGTGGGGGGTATGCTCTTATTTGTGGACTTTTTTCCCTTCATTGCAGGCTAAGCAGATCGAACTTCAATTCACCATTGGTGAAGCCATCACCAGTGCTGCAATAGGAACTAACTCTGTGGCTGCCCGAGATGCCTGGGTGGTGACTGAAGAAGAATATACACCTCTTGCTGGTATCAAATACTTACCTAATTGATTTACAGTTATTGATTGACTTCCTTCTGTTCTCTGTCATATTTGAGGCAAAATAATTTTTCCCCAAGTATTGATACAGGACTTCTAATTTGGTCTGTCAAGGAGAATGGTTAATTAAAGAATATTGAACAAGCCAGGTGGTGGTGGTACATGCCCTTAATCCCAGCACTTGGAGGCAGAGGCAGGCATATTGCTGTGAGTTTGAGGCCAGCCTTGTTTACAGAGCTAATTCTAGGATAGCCAGGGCTACATAGAGAAATCCTGTCTTGAAAAACCAAAAAGGGGAAAAAAAAAAAAAAAAAAAAAAAAAAAAAAAAAAAAGATTGAACATGGCTGGGCCTGGTGGTGCCTTTAATCCCAACTTTCAGGAGGCAGAGGCAGGAGTATCTCTGAGTTCAAGGTCAGTCTAGTTCACATATCGAGTTCTAGGCCAGTTAGAGCTACATAGTGAGATCTTGTCTCTGTGTCTCCCCAAAAGATTGAGTATGAAAATGAAAACTCTCCGAGTCTCTTGTATTTAATGACGCTCCACTAGCTCCTACTAGTCCTGGAAGTATGCTAGAATTTAGTGACTACATAATGAGAGTATGTATGTGGTTTCTGAGTATATATTACAGATATTAAGATTTCAGAATAAAATGATGTATTACTGGGTGGTGGTGGCCCACACCTTTAATTCCAGCACTCAGGAGGCAGAGGCAGGTGGATGTCTGGGACAGGCTCCAAAGCCACAGAGAAACCATGTCTTGAAAAAGCGAAAACAAAACAAAAAGATGATGTATGCTTGTAATCCCACCACTTGGGATGCTGAGGCAGGAGGATTGCAACTTGAAGGACATGTGGGCTATATAATGAGATCAAAGCCTGTATGTGTCTCAAAAACAAAACAAAGCAAAACAAAATAAAAATACTACAAAAACAAATTCAAGGGCTAGCAAGTAAAGGTGCTTGCAGTTAAGGTTTGATACCCTGAGTTCTATCAGTAGACCACGTGGTATAGAACCAGTTGTAGCAAAGCTGACCTTCACTTCCTCATGCATGCCCTTTTATTCATGTGTACATAGGTACACTCAAAACACAACAAAGTAAAACAAAAAATCCAAAAACACAAACTTAAATATCTTCTAGTGTTGGGTTGAATTTAGAATTGAAAATATATTTTAATATTGAACCAGGATTATTTTAAATATTTATTTTGAAAGAAAAATCATAAAGTATTTTTATTTTATCTTAGTTGGGAAAATTAAATAGGAATATTTTCATGGTAACAATACCATTGTGAATTATATTCTGTAATGAATATAGTTTTGTGCTTAGTGTTATAGTTAATGTTTATTATTGTAGTATCTTCACCTATTATTATGTAATCTTATCATAGAGAGACTTAAATAAAAAAAGTGTTTTTCTTACAGTATAAGTATGACTGTGGTTGATGGAAGCCACACTAGCTCTCTGAAACTTCTCTTTGAATGCATGTGAGGAAAAGAAAGTTGACATTTGTATAATGGAAGGGAGAAGGGCCATTCATCAAGCTCTAGTGCTTTTAGGATTGTGAACCCCCGAAGTAATGAGGAAGAGACAAATGTGTTAATAGCTGAATGACAAAAGTGAAATGTAAAGATATTCCTTAGTTTGTTTTTAGAAGGAAGTTTAGAAAGATTTAGTAAAGAAAAAAGTTGCTGAGATTGAAGAGAGTGGGATAATTTTTCAATCCAATGAACTAGTTATTTGATACTTTAAAAAGATTAGTTTATGCTAGGCTCTGGACATTCTTGGTCATTTGAATTTTAACATCAGGTTATTGTATGATTTTTGTGGAAATTTTTTTTTTTATAGGAAAAATGTTTTAACTGTGATCTTTCTTCGCTTTTTCCTCAGGTGCCAAAATGAATGATGTTGTTCCCCTGGGTTTTAGAAGTTATTTTAAGTAAGCATATTATCAGTCCCAACCCACATGTGAGGCAAGCAGCCTGCATCTGGCTCCTTTCTCTTGTGAGGAAGCTAAGTACCCATATAGAAGTGAAGGTATGCTTCATAATATGAATTGTATATGTGATGAACTCTATAAGTATTTATAAATTAAAACAGCAAGAAAGTGTATGAGTTTGGAATCATTAACAAATAGCAATAGTTCAGAAATAAGCTCCATGTGAAACAGTAAGGATGATGATATGATTAATACTGACAAGAAAATGACCTAATGTGAAGATGTAAAGTCAGAAGTGCTAGTAATGGGGATACTCATATTGAGACAAAGGTTAGACTGAATGCTTAGACTACCTTTGAGGGTACAACTTCTAATATGGACATCTGTAAATAAAGATGAGGGAATGGAAAGGTGGATGACTGCTTTAATACTGACTCTCTGGCCTCAGTGTATCATAACAGTGAGATCCTTGTTTCTCTGTATCTGTAGGTCTTAAGTGTTCTAAAGCCTTTTCTCTTCTTCCAGTCTCATCTTAAGGAAATTCAGAGTGCATTTGTTTCGGTTCTGTCAGAAAATGATGGTAGGTTGTTGGTAACTACTTGACTTGTTAGCGTCTTTAAACTTATTATTTTAAATTTTAAAAATTGAAATGAAATGTAGCACAAAAACTTGTAAAATAAAACCAGCCATATGCTTTTAATCCCAGCATGTGGGAGGTAAGAGGCAGGAGGGTCATGAAATTCTGTCTCTACCTAGAATTGCAATAATATTAAAAATTAATTTTTTTTAGTATTAAAGGTAATTGTATTAAAGTGAAAGCCAAGATTAACTAGTACCATTTTCCTAGGGTACAGGAAATTGAAATTCTTTTTTATGTATGAATTAAAACAGCTTCTGCAACTTTATATTTTTAAAATGGAGTTGGGGCCTTAACATTAGTGTTAAACTTTTTCTACTTGTGATTATTTGTCCTCTTTGATTAAAGCCAGGGAAGCATAATATGTTAGAAATTTAAATAATAGCTTTAAAAAAAAAAATCTCATTTAAGACGTGTAGACTTACATTCCCTTTATTTTTCTAAAATTGCATATGGGTGTCAGGGTAGTTGTTTTATCTTTAATATAAACCACTTATGTTAATATTATGATACCATAGTTATTACTGTGACACTGTAGTTTATTGGCATTTTATTAGTTTTTTTATCATGATTTCTCATTTTTGTTGACTCATGATATCATGTCTACTGAGTTGATTTAGGAAAATAGAGTGATTCTGCTTTTATATCTCTACTTTTATATAATACATTTTAGAGTAAAGATAAGTACTTGATAGAAAATAATTGGTCAGGAGATAAATTTCTTTTAGAATAGTGTAATTTTGTCTTTTTTTTTTTTTTTTTTTTTAAGAACTCAGTCAAGATGTTGCCTCAAAAGGGCTTGGGTTGGTTTATGAACTGGGCAGTGAACAAGATCAACAAGAATTGGTGTCTACACTTGTAGAAACACTTATGACTGGCAAAAGGTATAGAATTTAAAAATTTCTGGTACGAATACATAGGACATTCATATTATGATATGGAATAAGGAAAAATTCTACCTTATATTTTCTAATTAAGCCATTGCATATGATTGTTACACAGTTTAATTATCCCAGTGTATATACTATTTACATGAACTAGGTCATGTTTTCAAACTTGAATTGTCTCATGACAATTAAAGCTTCAGGTTAGAAAAACACTATAATACCTTTGGCTAAAGAGAGTTAAGATGTGATTAATAAACTTGAATGTCATTTATAATCTGATCTGTGATGAGTACATGGAGGGGGATTGGTTTTGCAATTGCTTGCTGCTTTCTGTTAACCTCCTGTGCTGTTGGTTGTTATTTACTCTTAGCTTTTTTGAGGGCCCACCACCTAGCTCTGAAATAAATACACGGAGACTTACTATTTATAAATGCCTGGCCTTAGCTTGGCTTATTTCTTGCTAGTTTTTCTTTCCTTGTTTTTTTTTTTTTTTTTTTTTTTTTTTTTCTTGGAGACAGGGTTTCTCTGTGAAACAGTCCTGGCTTAAATTATCCCCCCCTACCTTTTGTCTCTGGGCTTTTTCCTTTTCTTATTTTCACTGTTACTCCATGTTTGGCTGGAGGGGCTGGGTGGCTTGCCCCTGACATCCTCCTCTCCTTGTTCTATCTTGTGCCGTCCTCCTTCCTTTTCTTGTTTCTCCTATTTATGCCCCCCCTATCCTTTCTCCTGCCTTGCTATTGGCTATTGCTATTCATTAGACCAATCAGGTGTTTTAGACAGGCAAAGTAGTACAGCTTCACAGAGTTAAACAAATGTAACATAAAGAGTGCAGCTCATCTTGCATCATTAAAACAAATGTTTTTCAGTATAAACAAATATAACACACTTTAAAATAATTTTTTATAACCTTGGTTATAACTCTATACAGAAATCTTTAGTATCTGCAAATTTGTTTGCATTTGAGTTTAGAAAGTTTCCAGTCTGGCAGAAAAAAATAGTTTATATATTTCATACACTAGATACAGATTTTATTAGTTTGAAAATGGATGTATCCATTTGCTTATTGTTTGTATAGAAAATTTGAAGCTAAATTTTTATTTGTTTTAGAGCTAAACATGAAGTTTCTGGAGAGACAGTGGTATTTCAAGGGGAGGCCTTGGCAAAACACCTGATGGGTAAGTGTGCTAAATCTAAAACCAGTGATCAACTAAGACATAGCAGGAATGTTGTTTGTTGATGGATAAATAAACACTCTATTGTTTAGATTGGGTTTCCTTGAAATAGACTCTGAGCTAGAGATTGGTATGCTGGAAGTTTATTGGAGAATACCCTTGGGAATGTCTTTGGGAGGGGTGAGCAAGTAGATAGCTGATGTAGAGGGAAAGTTCCATAGCCTCACTGGACACTAGATTCCTGAGGTGCTATAAGCTAGGATGACATGGCCTTTCAAGGTTGTCCTTCTCTGAGGCACAGAGCCTTGACCTTGGGCCTACTTTTTAGGCATTTATGCCTGTTCAGTGACTAATAACTTGTGGTATGCTGCTTTGTGGGTGACCATGACCGTAAAGACTTAAGATTCTCAGAGACTGACATTAGGTTCAGAACTATCTGTCTACTTCCAGGTGGTTTATCTCTCCTGTTATTCTGTATCTCACTGTTTTCACTTTGAAAGTCCTTTTTATTTCCTTGTTTTTTACGATTCTTTCTGAGCTTTTCTGTCTTGTTTTTTCTTCCTTTCTCTTTTATGGGGATAAGGTCTTATTATATTGTCTAGGTGGTTCCTGAACTAGTTGGCTCAGTTGAATCCTCTGGTATGACTACAGAGGTACAAACTACTGTATCTAGCTTCTTTCTGAATTAAAAAAGTGATGATTTTTTCACAAAATGATATTTAAGCAACTAAAATTTACTTCAAGGAAATTTAATACAAAGAGATTTTCAAATGATTCATGGTTATGAGAGATTGTGTACAATATGATGAGTTGTTGAGTTGTCTTCTGAGGTGCAAAGAGCTTCAGTTCCATGGGAAGTGGAGATGCATTTTAGGTATTGTGCTTGTTACTACCTTATACCTGATAAAAAAGTGACTTAGTGTATGAGGGCTTATTCTGGTTCACAGATGGATGCTGTAAGATCCATCATGAAAGGAAGGAATGCTGGTAGATGACTCTGGTTGTAGGAGTGTTTAGTTGGGCTTCCAACTCCTGACCTCTTGGTGGAATAGAAAGGAGAGATGGGACTGGACTCTAATATCTCAAAGCTTATTCTGAGTAACTCCCTTCCTCCAGACAACAAAGATCAGCCCTTTTAGCGATTCTACAACTTTCCAAAACAGTGCCATGAGCTGGGCACCAAGAATTCAAACACATGAGCCTATGGGAGGCCTTTCACATTCAAATCACAATATTTATTTACCAGCAGAAAGACTGAAGAATTATTGATAATAGAGATATATGAGTTTATATTCTTTTTTCTGTCTCCTCAGTGATGAACATGGTATTAGTAACTCAGGGAAAGGATAGTTTAAAAGAGTCCACCTGTAATATTGGTGGTAAAATTCACATCAACGCAAAGATAGCTAGAAAAATGTTTTTATTTTGTATTTCTTTTTGTTTCAAAGCCAGGGTCTTTCTACTTACAAAGAGCTTTGTTCTCTGGCAAGTGATCTTAGTCAGCCAGATCTGGTATATAAATTTATGAATCTGGCAAATCACCATGCAATGTGGAACTCCAGGAAGGTAAGTTGCTATATTGTTTTGTTTCTTAAATTTTTGCTGGAGGTCAAACCAGGGTGTCATGCATACATGACAAGTGCTCTACTACTGGATGAAATACCCCCAGCTCTCACTGAGTTTTTAGTTTGTATTTTCTCCAAAACCAAACTTGGTATATTAACCATGTAGTGCCAGTTGATATGTAGTTAATTTTGAAAGGTTTATGTCTAAAAGTCAAACTACCATATTAGCCATTATTATTGCTAAAGCTCGAATACTAAATAATGCTCTATTCAAGGACAAATTTTAGAAAGAATATTTTGTGACTTGTTTTTGTATTTTATGTGTTGGTATTTTACTATGGCAGGCACATATAAGTCACTCTTTTTATTATTTATAGGGTGCTGCTTTTGGTTTTAATGTAATTGCTACTAGAGCTGGAGAACAACTGGCTCCTTTTCTGCCTCAACTAGTTCCTCGACTTTATCGTTACCAGTTTGATCCCAATCTTGGAATTCGACAGGCTATGACAAGTATTTGGAATGCATTGGTTACTGACAAGTCAATGGCAAGTATCTTTGAACCTGTGTTAGGAAATCTAGCTTGGCTATGGTACCACATGGACTGAAACCCAGTGTTCCCCTCACCCCCTTCACTTTGTATATTTATTTGCTTTCATTGCTTGTTTATTTTTTCTTTCAAAGATGATGTAACATTTACTGAGATCTCAAAGATGAAAGTGATCTAAATGTTCATTGGGTGGATAGATAGTTTAAAGAATTACAGTATATTCACATAAATGGAATATTATGTGTTAACAGGGATCACTGATGCCATGGGGAATGGGTCCATGCTTACAGAGTTACTTTCATTGGGAAGACAGAGAAAAGAAATAGTCAATTGTTATATATATATATATATATTTTTTTTTTTGGTTCTGTCATCTGACTATTCTATCCTCCTTTCAGATATGACGGTTTCTCAGGAAGTGCTCTGAATACTGTTGTCCTCTTAGCTTTCTTTTTGTTAATTCTTGGGCAAATAAACATTCTGTTTATTGTAATGGTCCTCAGTTCTATTCTGGGTCAGATAGGACATGTACTCCATCCATATTTATGAATTTAACTTCCTGGTTATTGTTTTCACTTTACTGTTGTTCACATGTGCCATAACTGTAACGTGTCCAGTAAAGAGCTGACAAGCAAAAAGACACCTTTCCTTCTTTACTCTTACTGTTCATTGTAAGGGGTACGGTTTTTCCGCCCGCCGCCTGGTATTGTCCTGCCTTGCGCAGCCCCAAATAATACACAGAGACTCTGTATTTGATACAATGCTGTTGGCCCGGTTACTTGTTTCTTATCGGCTAGCTCTGCCTTAATTATTAACCCATTTCTGCTGATCTATGTATTTCTCTTACCGGGGAGCCGGCGGCATACTGCTTTCTTCAGACTCTCCATCTTGACTCCTCCTTACTACTTCCTATTTCCTCCTTGTCTCCTAGTCCCTCCTATCTTCTTACCCTATTGGCTAACAGTGCTTTATTATTAACCAGTATGAGAAACATATATACAGAATGACATCTCCTATCAGTTCATGTATTTGTCCAAGCCAGTAAATTTGCTGTCACCTTTTTTCTGTCTCTGTCTTATAGGTGTTCCCCCCACCCCCAAATCCCACATTGAATTTAGTAGCAGTTTTTCTTGAGTCTGCTCCCTTCTCCCTCCCTCCCTCCCTCCCTCCCTCCCTCCCTGCCTGCCTCCCTCCCTCCCTCCTCCCTCCCTCCCTCCCTCCCTCCCTGCCTCCCTCCCTCTCTCTCTCCTTCCCTCCCTTTTACTCTCCCTTTTACCCTCTCTGCCCTCTCACATGCATTCTAACCACCCTCCCCTCCCATCACCCCCACCCCAATTCCATATGTATGGGAATGCCATCCAGTTGGGGTCATGTAGATCTGTCAGGTCATGTGAAGTAGGGACTAGGGCTTCTCTCCTGTCTCTAGATTAAGGCAGTTATCCCTCCATGGGGGATATGTTTGCAAAGTCCTTATGTGCACCAGGGATACATCCTGGCTCCACTGTCTGAGGTCCATTAGACTGCTCAGTCCTTCTGGCTGAGACCCATATTCAGGGGGGCCTGAGTCAGTCCCATGCTGGCTTCCCAGCTATCAGTCTAGTGGCCATTAGCTCCTCCTTGTTCAGGTAAGCTATCTGTATGTGCTTCTGCCACATGGTCTTGTCCTCTCCATCTGCATCTGGGTTCTAGTTTGACTCAGTGTTTATGTGTGGGTGTTTGATCCTGTTTTCCACAGGCATTAATTGAGGGCTCTATGGAGAAGTTAGTTGTTGATCTCACTTTCCGGGAAGGGCATTTACGATAGCCTTTCCACGGAAGCTCAAATTGTTAGTTGGGAGCAGTCTTGTAGTTCTCTAGACCTTTCTTTGTGTTCAATTTTATCTTCAAACTAATACTAGTTCCCTCTTTTCTGTTCCCCCCCCTCTCTCTCTCTCTCTCTCTCTCTCTCTCTCTCTCTCTCTCTCTCTCTCTCTCTGTCTCATCTTCTATTCCTAACCAGGCTCAATCTTCCTGGTCGCACATTTTCCTTTCCTCCCCCTCATTTTCTCCTACTTCTCTCTCCATTTGCTGCTTCCCCCACTTCACCTGGCTCTGGGGGACTTGTCCCTTCCCAGTTCTGTGAGGGACTGTATATGAATCTCTTAGAATACACCTTGTATCCTAGTTCCTCTGGTGATGTGAATTATAGGCTGGTGATCCTTTGCTCTAGGTCTAAAATCCATATATGAGTGAGTACATACTGTGTTCCTCTTTTTGTGACTGGGTTACCTCATTCAGGATGGTTTCTTCAAGTGCCATCCACTTGCCTGCGAATTTCAAGATACCATTATTTTTTTCTGCAGAGTAGTATTCCATTGTGTAGATTTGCCACATCTTCATTATCCATTCTTCAATTGAGGGGCATCTAGGTTGCTTCCAGGTTCTTGCTATTACAAATAGTGCTGCTATGAACATACTTGAACAGATGTCTTTGTTGCATGGATGTGAATCCTTTGGTTATATGCCTAAGAGGGGGATTGCTGGATCCTGTGGTAAACTAATTCCCATTTTCCTGAGGAACCGCCATACTGATATCCAAAATGGCTGTATGAGTTTGCACTCCCACCAGCAGTGGAAGAGTGTTCCACTTTCCACATCCTCTCCAACATAAGTCATCACTGTTGTTTCTAATTTTAGCCATTCTGGCAGGGGTAAGATGGTATCTCAAAGTTGTTTTGATTTGCATTTCCCTGATAGCTAAGGATGTGGAGCATTTTCTAAAGTGTCTTTCAGCCTTTTTGATTTCCTCTATTGAGAATTCTTTTTTCAGTTCTGTACCCCATTTTTTAAGAGCGTTATTTGGTATTTTGTTGACTAGTTTCTTGAGTTCTTTGTATATTTTGGAGATCAGCCCTTTGTCGGATAGAGGATTGGTGAAAATCTTTTCCCAATCTGTGGGCTGCCGTTTGGTCTTGTCCACTATGTCCTTTGTTTTACGGAAGACTCTAAGTTTGAAGAGGTCCCATTTATTAATTGTTTCTTTCAGTGTCTGTGCCCCTGGAGTTATGTTCAAGAAGCGGTCTCCTATACCAGTTTGTTCCAGGGTACCTCCTACTTTTCTCTTCTAGAGGTAAAATGTGGCTGGATTGATATTGAGGTCTTTGATCCATTTGGACTTGAGTTTGTGCATGGCGACAAACATGGGTCTATCTGCAGTCTTCTACACACCCTCATCCAATTGTCCCAGCACCATTTGTTGAAGATGTTGTCCTCGCCCCATTGTATAATTCTAGCTGTTTTGTTGAAAATCAGGTTTTCATAGGTGTGTGGGTTAATATCAGGATTTTCAATTCAATTCCATTGGTCTACCTGTCTATTTTTGTGCCAATACCAGGCTGTTTTCAGAACTATAGCTCTGTAGTAGAGCTTCAAGTCAGGAATGGTGATGCCTCCTGAAGTTCTTTTATTGTATAGGGTTGTTTTGGCTATCCTGGATCTTTTGTTTTTCCATATAAAGTTGATTATTATCCTTTCAAGGTCGGTGAAGAATTGTGGTGGGATTTTAATGGGGATTGCATTGAATCTGTAGATTGCTTTTGGTAAGATTGCCATTTTTTACTATGTTTCTCCTACCTATCCAAGAGCATGGGATATCTTTCCATTTTCTGGTATCTTCTTTAATTTCTTTCTTTAGAGTAACAAAGTTTTATTATATAGGTCTTTTACTTGTTTGGTAAGCGTTACACCAAGATACTTTATGTTGTTTGTGGCTATTGTAAAGGGTGATGTTTCTCTGATTTCTTTCTCTGTCTCTTTGTCGTCTGAAAAAAGTAGGGCTACTGATTTTTTTGAGTTTTTCTTGTATCCTGCTAGTTTGCTGAAGGTGTTTATCAGCTGTAGGAGTTCCCTGGTAGAGTTTATTGGGTCGCTTATGTAAACTATCATATCATCTGCAAATAGAGACTGTTTGACTTCTTCCTTTCCAATTTGGATCCCCTTGATCTCCTTTTGTTGTCTTATAGCATTAGCTAGAACTTCTAGTCCGATATTGAAGAGATATGGAGAGAGAGGACAGCCTTGTCTTGTTCCTGATTTTAGAGGAATTGGGTTAAGTTTCTCTCCATTCAGTTTGATGTTGGCAGTTGGTTTGCTGTATATTGCTCTTATTATGTTTAGGTATGTTCCTGTTATCCCTGACCTCTCCAAGACCTTTATCATGAAAGGATATTGAATTTTGTCGAAGGCTTTTTCCACATCTAAGGAGATAATCATATGGTTTTTCTTTTTCTGTTTGTTTATATGGTGGATCACGTTGATAGATTTTCGTATGTTTAAACCATCCCTGCATTACAGGTATGAAGCCTACTTTGTCATGGTGGATGATTTCTCTGATGTATTCTTGAATTCGGTTTGCCAGTATTTTATTGAGTATTTTTGCATCAGTGTTCATCAGTGATATTGGTCTGTAGTTTTCTTTCTTACTTTTGTCTTTGTGAGGTTTGAGTACCAAAGTTATTGTGGCCTCATAAAAAGAGTTTGGCAATGAACCTTCTATTTCTATCTTGTGGAACAGTTTGAGGAGTAGTGGTATTAGTTCTTCCTTGAATGTCTGGTAGAATTCTGCACTGAATCCATCTGGCCCTGGACTTTTTTTTGTTGGAAGGCTTTCGATGACTGCTTCTATTTCATTGTGGGTTATAGGTCTATTTAAGTTGTTTGTCTGTTCTTGATTTAATTTTGGTAAGTGATAGTTATCCAGAAATTTGTCCATTTCCTTTGAATTTTCAATTTTTGTGGAATACAGGTTTTCAAAGTATGACCTGAAAATTGTCTGGATTTCCTCTGTGTCTGTTGTTATGTTCCCCGTTTCGTTTCTGATTTTGTTAATTTGCATGTTCTGTCTCTGCTTTTTCGTTAATTTGGATAAAGGTTTGTCTATCTTGTTGATTTTTCTGAAAAAACCAACTCTTCGTTGCATTGATTTTTTTTTTTTTTTTTTTTTTTTTTTTGTATTGTTTTCCTGGTTTCTATTTTGTTGATTTCAGCCCTCAAGTTGATTATTTTCTGGCATCTACTCCTGCAGGGTGAATTTGCTTCTCTCTGTTCTAAGGTTTTCAGTTGGGCTGTTAATTCTCTTATGTGAACATTCTCTGTTTTCTTCATATGGGCACTTAGTGCAATGAACTTCCCTCGTAGCACTGCTTTCATGGTGTCCCATAAGTTCGGTTATGTTGTATCCTCATTCTCGTTGAATATTAGAAAGTCTTTAATTTCTTTCTTTATTTCTTCTTTGACCCAGGAGTGGTACAATTGCACATTGTTCAGTTTCCATGAGTTTGCAGGTTTTCTGCTATTTGTGTTGTTGTTGAATTCCAATTTTAAAGCATGGTGGTCCGATAAGATACAGGAGACTATTCCTATTCTCCTGTATCTGTTGAGGTTTGTTATGTCACCTAGTATGTGGTCGATTTTAGAGAAGGTTCCATGTGGAGCAGAGAAGAAGGTATATTCTTTTGTCTTTGGATGGAATGTTCTATAGATGTCTATTAACCCCAGTTGAGACATAACTTCTGTTAATTCTTTTTTTTCTTTGTGGAGTTTCTGATTTGTGGTCCTGTCTAGTGTTGAGAGTGGTGTATTGAAGTCTCCCACTATAAGTGTGTGAGGTTTTATATGAGCTTTGAGTTTTAGTAGTGTTTCTTTTACGAATGTGGGTGCCTTTGTATTAGGGGCATAGATGTTCAGAACTGAGACTTTGTGTTGATGGATTTCTCCTGCAATGAATATGAAATGACCGTCTTCATCTCTCTTGACTAATTTTGGTTTGAAGTCTAACTTGTTAGATATTAGGATAGCTACGCCTGCTTGCTCTTTGGTTCCATTTGATTGGAAAATCTTTTCCCAACCCTTTACCCTGAGGTAATGTCTATCTTTGAAGCTTAGATGTGTTTCTTGTATGCAGCAGAAGGATGGATTCTGTCTTCGTATCCATTTTGTTAGCCTGTGTCTTTTTATAGGTGAGTTAAGACCATTAATGTTGAGGGTAAGTAAGGACCATTGATTGTTGATTCTTGTTTGATTTAGGTTTGTTGTTGGCAGTGGTATTGTGAATATATTAGTTCTGCTTCACCCTTGGTTTCTAGTGTAGTTGGATTATCTGTTGCCTACATTTTTGTGGGCGTAGTTACCTTCCTTGGGTTGGAGTTTTCCTTCCAATACTTTCTGTATGGCTGGATTTGTAGATACATATTGGGAAAATCTGGTTTTGTCATTAAATATCTTGTTCTCTCCATCTATAGTGATTGAGAGTTTTGCTGGATATAGTAGCCTAGGCTGGCATCCGTGTTCTCTTAATACTTTTAGAACATCTATCCAGGACCTTCTGGCCTTGAGGGTTTCCATGGAGAAGTCGGGTGTAATTTTGATAGGTCTGCCTTTATATGTTACCTGTCCTTTTTCCTTCACTGCTCTTAATATTCTTTCTTTATTCTGTATGCTAGGTGTTTTGCTTATTGTATGTTGAGGGGCTCTTTTTTCTTTGGTCCAGCCTATTTGGGGTTCGGTATGCTTCTTGTACTTTCATGGGCAGATTTGGAAAGTTTTCCTCGATGATTTTGTTGAATATGTTTTCGGCACCTTTGAGCTGGGCTTCCTCACCTTCCTCTATGCCTATTATTCTTAGGTTTGGCCTTTTCATGGTGTCCCACATTTCCTGGATATTTTGTGTTAAGGATTTGTTGGATTTATGATTTTCTTTGTTCGATGAATCTATTTCTTCTAGTTTATCTTCTGTGCCTGAGATTCTCTCTTCCATCTCTTGAATTCTATTGGTTATGCTTGTATCTGTAGTTGCCGATTTTTTGCCCAGCTTTTCAATTTCCAGCATTCCTTCTGTTTGTGTTGCCTTTATTTTCTCTATTTCAGTTTTCAAGTCTTGAACTGAACTGTTTCCTTCACCTGCTTAATTGTTTTTTTGGCTTTCTGTACTTTCCTTAAGGAATTTCTTCATTTCTTCCCCTTTTTTGTTTGTTTTTTTTCCCTCCATTTCTTTAAGGGATTTTCTCAAATCTTCTTTGAGGGCCTCTATCATTTTTATGATGGTAATTTTTAAGTCATACCCTCTGCTTTGTTGTTGTGTTCCGTTCTAGTTGGTGTAGATTCCCTAGATTCTGGTGGTGTCATGCTTGTCTTTCTGTTGTTAGATGTTTTCTTGTATTGCCTTCTTCCCATAGCTTCTTCCAGTAGGTGTTGGTGGGGTCTCCCCCTCTCTCTATGGTATTTCCCCGATGGGCTTATGTGGGTCTGAGATTCAGTATCTTTAGCTCTGTGTGGTCCAAGCTCTCTAGGAGGTTTCTCCATAGACAGGGATCCAGGGATGGGGTCAAGGATGAGGATCCAGAAGAAGATGCCAGCAGGTACTCACATTGGTCCTCTGGCCAATAGCTCTGGCCAATAGTTGGCGGAAGAGGGCAAGGGCTGAGCTGGAACTTGAGAAGGTTTTGCAGGATAGTCGGATCTCACTGGAAACTGGCGCTCTCCAGCTGAGACCTGGTTCTTTGGCAGAGGCCAGGATTTGGGGGTCAAGGATCTTGCCAGCAGGAACTCAGAGTGGACCTCTGGCCAATAGCTGGCGGAAGAGGACAAGGGCTGAGCTGGAACTTGAGAAGGTTTTGCAGGATAGTCAGATCTCACTTGAAACTGGCGCTCTCCAGCTGAGACCTCGTTTTTTGGCAGAGGCCCGGATTTGGGGGTCAAGGATCTTGCCCGCAGGAACACAGAGTCTGGTTAAAATTCTTATATGGATTTTAGTTCATATTTTTTTCTTTCCAATACTGGTGTTTTAGCCCAGGCTCTTAAACATGCTAGGCAAATGCTCTACCACTAATATTTCCCAAGACCTATTTAAAAAGTACTTATTTTGATACAAGATCTTGATCTGATTCATACTCAGCCCTGAACATTTGTACTTCTTGCTCAGCCTCCAGATTAGCTTAGGTTACTTTGAGCTTGCAGTTTACTGTTACAACTGAGTCTACCATCAGTTTGTTATCACCAAAGCTTAGATTAAACTCACTCATCCTTCTTGACCCACACATTACAAGATCTGGGACATGGTACAGTTCTGTTCTTTTTCTTACATATATGACACAGTTTATTCCCATTCATGGTTGTTGGTACTTGAGGATTCGACTTTGAGCGCTCATTGGATTCTAATTGCTCTAGGATAAGATGTGGGTCAACCAAGATTTAATTGGCTAATGGAGTTATAAATATGAGTTCAGTTTACTGGGGTTGGCTCTTGAAATGTGGGCATGTTCTTTGAGTGAAGGACTGTTAAACCACAATTATGATGAGACACCTATGGAGAATACAGGAGGGGATGTGGGAAGCTACCTGCTTATTTAATTTTAGGTGAGTTATTTATTTCTCTGCTTTGATCATCTAACATGTAAATGTGTATAACAAAACTATAAGAGTAAAAGTGAAAAAGTTGAGAATCTTTAGATCTGTTGGTGTGACAACTGAGTCTCCCCATCAATTTATTTTTACCAAAGCTTCGATCAAGCTCACCTAACCTCTGAATCATTGTAATACTTGTTTTTGCACCAAACACTGCAAAGTACAGAGATGCCCTTTGACCACTGAGGTCTCCAGTGTAATGGAGCAGTACAATCATAACTTGTGTGATATGATTTACCTTAGGTATGTGCTGTGGTAACATGGAAGAAATTTGATAGCAGAACTTCTCTGAGTGGTGGCTACTCTGAATCTCCATGGGCCAAAAGTAGTTACTCAAGTTGGACATGGAAAAGGATTGCAGAAGTAGTATGTGCTAAGTTACCGAACTAAGACCAGACAAGGTATCTGTATGACTGGATGAGTCACAGTGGGCTTGTGTCATATAAAGCCCAAGTGATTAGACTTTATTCCATGTACTATGGAAAAGGATCATCTACCTTTACACTTTAGAGTACTTGCAAAGTGCTCAGAGATTTGTAGGCTGAGAGGCCTAGGAACACTTTAATAAAGAAAACTGATCAGTGCTGTTGGGAGGTAAGTAATTTGATTGTTGGATTTTACATTTTTCATTGTATCTTTTGCTTTCATTAGGTGGATAAATATTTGAAGGAAATTCTTCAAGATGTGATTAAAAACCTTACCAGCAACATGTGGCGAGTTCGAGAATCCAGGTACCACTTGGAAAATTAGATTAGCCAAATAGAGCTGGACAGTACCCTTCAAATTTCTAAGGTTTTTTACATGGTGTAACAAAGATTAAGTTAAAACTACCAATAAATATATTTTTAGTTGAGTTAGTTCTTTTTTTTTAACTATTTGAATTCTACTAGATGATTTGCCTCAATTAGCTTATAAAAGTATGAAGTTAATGAATCTGTGGATCTCTGGTTAAACTGGTAGATGACATAGGGTAGAATTTCTTTATATGTGCAGTTTGTACACATTCAGTGCTTCTTACATGCTTGTGAGACATTGAAAGCACATAGGTAAATTAAAAGTGGTGTATTGTTATATCATTCAAAGGGATTGAATTATATGGTTGTAGGGATTGTCACTGATTTGTTTCCTAATGTTTGAGGTAATACTAGAATAATTATGATTATCTTGGGGTGAGAAATAGATATGTAGTCTATATTATTGTTCAGTATAACTTTTTGGTAGTAAAATATTGGACTTGTTTGAACATATTTTTGAAATAAGTTTTTTTTTTTTTTTTTAGCTGTTTAGCTTTGAATGATTTATTGAGAGGAAGACCTTTAGATGACGTCATTGACAAACTTCCAGAAATGTGGGAAACACTTTTTAGAGTACAAGATGATATTAAGGTATTATAGAAATAAATATACATTTATATATAGACTAATTTAAACTGGAATTATTAAAATATGTCATAGAGTTTAAAAATTCATATATTTCAAAATTCTCTGTCTAGACAATTTTAGGAAACCATAGGTTTATCTCCAAATTTGATATATAAAGTTACAAGATTGGGTATCTTCATTAAACTGAACTGACTTAAAGAAGGTGGCCTTTTCTTTTAATAGAAATCTCATGATGCTGTTGGATTAGGAGCAAATACCCATTCTGATGTAATATGTAATGACTAAAGTTTCAAAATGTGGACATTCATTTCTAAATAATGTGATTAATAAAAACATCTGTTTCTTGGGTATTTTTTGCTTTATATTACTATAAGCTTAGATAATTTGTAAACGGAAATGGTTTAGCTATTTCAGAGGTTATTATTTATCATGTTTGGGCCTGTGCAAGGTCAGAGTCTGAGGTAGAAGAAAACACTTACTTGGGTAGAGAACAAAGAGAAGGAAGAGTGTCTGAGGCCCCATAATCTCCTTCAAGGGCTTGTTCTCAATGGTCTTGACTTTTCTCCCCATCTCTGAGGTTCTAGTAGTGCCTTTCTGGGGACCCAGCCTTTAGCACATAAATCTTTTGAGGATAATTAAGATCCAACTAAAGTACTAGATTATCTAATTTTTAAATTATTTTGCCATCCTTAAAGTAGACCACTAGGGTTGTCTTTCTTGTTGCTTTATTCATTAGAAAATGCTAATTAGAATTTTCACAGAGATTTTTATGTATTTATTTTTTATACTACATTTTATTTTTGGACTGTTGTAGTTAATGACTATATTTTTATATGAGCAAAAATAGAGGAGATATATATATATATTCCTCAATGGTCAAAGAGCCTAATGAAATATTATCTACTTAAACCTGTTATTGAAAGTTATGTTTTACTATTTTGTATTAGGATCTATGGTAGTTAACTACCCATTATAGAGATAAGAATGAATGCTGCCTAATATATAATGCCAGACTTTTCTCATTTTTAGGAATCTGTACGGAAAACAGCAGAACTAGTTCTGAAAACTCTGAGTAAGGTGAGAATACTCATCTCACAGTAGGATAGAGTAGGTAGGGCAGGGCAGGACTCACCATGCTTTTTTTGGGGGGGGGGAAGCATCATGTGACATAGTATTGCCTTGTATAGTTTACTGCTCTTACAGTGAATAAGAAAGTGGGTTCTGTAATGCTAAAGGTAATGTATCTTGAGCACAGTATACTTTTGGTTAAATGCTTCTACATGAGCTATTCCTTCCCTTTGACTCTGAAGAATATATTACTCACTTAAATAAAGCAATATGTCTTTCTTTTAATATTTTTCCTAAATTTATGATGGGCAAGCGTTTTAAAACCAAATAGTCTGCCACTTGGACTTACTATTGTAATTTGCATTCTAATTGCATAAACCTTGTCATTGATCACATTACTAAGTAGTTAAGGGTATGTTTTAAATCCTTTCATGTTTAGGTCTGTGTTCTTTACTAGAATATGTTCTGCCTTTTAAAAAGTGCTTTCTTATAGTGTTCATCACATCTTCACCTCCTTTGTTTTTCATTATACAAATCAGAAAGTAAAAGATCAGAGAATAAAATATATTACCAAATCTTCTGTTTAGATATGGCAGATCTTTAGGACCCAGTTCTGGTTATTCCTCTATCTCCCTACACCCCCCCTCCCCCATAATGGCATAGAAAGTAGATTCACTCACTCTTTATTTCTGATAGTGACATAGAAAAGCACTTTGTAAGAGAAATGCTTTAATAGTTGAGAGACCAGCTTCACTAATGTCCATGCTCTTTGTATGTGAGGTTTGTGTGAAAATGTGTGACCCTGCCAAAGGAGCAGCTGGCCAGAGAACCATTGCTGTCCTCCTGCCCTGCCTTCTGGACAAAGGAATGATGAGTCCTGTGACGGAAGTTCGAGCCCTCAGGTGTGGTTTGGTTGAAGTGAATGTATTGGAATTATTTAGTTTATAGCCAGTCTGTAGAAAATGTGTTTTCATGAATGTCAGATTCCTAAAAATATGGAAAATGGGTTGAGGAGAATCTGTGGAGGTAACCCAAGCATTTATGAAAAGATGTGAGTCATAGTATTTTTATAGACCTTGATTTCAATTAGCATTCTGAGTTGCATATTATTCTATTGTCATTGGCCCCTTTCCTTAGCAAGCGCATACTGCTGTTATACCACAGGTCTTCAGGGGCTTGCTTGTTGGGTATAACCAACTGTTTTGCTGTTCATGGTAAACTAATGTATGTGGTGATTGTTAATGGTGTCTATAACTACTGCCTGAAAGACAATGTGGAACTTAATGATGGTTCAGTGATGACCCTAATAGTGTAAAATAACACAATAGGGGATACATCCTGCATACAGCATTGCTTATGACAGAGTTTTGGTTGTATGGGAGGCAGAGTCTACCCATGTAGCTCACTTTGGCCCTATATTTTCTATATGCAACTCAGCCTGGCCTCAAACTTGTGATCCTTCAGGCTTATATGTCAGAATGTTGGCATTACTCGCATAAGCTGTATTTTTAAAATAATTGAACCTTTACTTGGTTAGCCTACATATTTGTACAGGATATATGTTAACACAGCTGGAATATAATCAGTGAGGTCAAATGAGACAGGTTGGGACTGTTAAAAAGTTTCAAGAATCAAGCTGGTATGATGGCCACACCTTTAATTCTGGTACTCGGGAGGTAGAGACCATCAGATCTCTATGAGTTCAAGACCAGCCTGGTTTATATAGCAGATTTCTTGTCAGTCAATGCTTTGCATAAGGAGACTATCTCAGAAAACATCCAAACAAAGAAAACAAACAAAAAATGTTTGAAGATGGTGTTGGGTAGACTTTGACCTCTGAATCTAGATCCCAACAAACTATCATATTTTTAGATAAAAGTTTTGTTATGTAGCCAAGGCTGGCCTTTTGAGCTCTTAGCCACCCATCTTAATCTCCCAGGTACTAGGACTTCTAGGCATTCACCACAATCAACTCTTAAAGAAAATTTCTGGGAAAACCAGAAAACCTTGGATAATAGATGAGATGACGTTTTTGATATTTTTCAAGTATAAAATTGTTCTGTTTGTGGTAAAGTACTTGTCTTATAAGATACATACTGAAATTTATTTAGCTTAAAGTGGTACAACAGTAGGGGAAAATAATGCTTAAATGTATGAAGGAATTACAAATGAAGTAAAATTTGCCATTGTTACTAATTGTTGAAATAGGTAAAGAGGACAAGGAATTTAATCTTGAGCCTCTCTATGTTTTATGTGTGCTTACTTAAAAATATCTGTAATTTTTTTTTAAGTGCCAAGTGACCTGGGTTCATAACCATAAATTCTACTTTGTCATTGCCTAAATCAGGCTTTGAACCATATGAGTATATTCCTAAATGCAATTGCAGGACATCCTCATGATTAGATTGTAGGACTTTTTATATTTGGTGAAAAGACTCAGATTTTGTGTTCTGTGTGTCTAGCATTAACACCCTTGTGAAGATCAGCAAAAGTGCAGGAGTCATGTTGAAGCCACATGCCCCCAAACTCATCCCAGCACTGCTAGAGTCCTTAAGTGTATTGGAGCCTCAAGTTCTCAATTATTTGAGTCTCCGCGCTACAGAACAAGAAAAGGTGAGTTGATAGCAGAATTGTGTTGGTTAGCATTGATGAGGTATGATCACTGTTAGATCCATCCAGTGTCCATAGACACACTCTAACTGATGGTGCTTTCACTCTTAAACACTACATGCAGTGGGTTTGTTTTGTTTTGTTTTTTTGGGGGGGAAGGCCCTGTTCAGCTCATATATGTTTTCATTAATCAGATAAAAATCAATAATTGCACCCTCCTCCCAAGACAGGGTTTTTCTGTGTAGCCTTTGTCCTGGAACTCACTCTTTAGACCAAGCTGGCCACTTACTCAGAGATCACTTGCCTTTGCCTCTGCCTCCTGAGTGCTGGGATTTAAGGCATGCACCACCACCACTTGGCTAAAATTGACAACTTATTAACATAATTTTAAGACTCTAAAATTAGTTTTACATTTTTAGGGGGTGAATCTATACCTAGACTGTGATCTAAAATTGTTCTGCTTTGTCTTTGATCAGTTAGTTTTTAAAAGTTGTCTATGACACCTTTATTAAGGGAAAATGAAATCCACCTGGAAGGGTAGAAAGCAGTCCCCTAGAGGTCTCCACTGTGAACTGTTGGGGATTGTCCTTCTGTCTGCTGTGAATATATGTTTTTCCTATTGGTTGATGAATAAAGCTGTTTCGACCAATGGACAGGCAGTATGTAGCCAGACAGGAAGTATGGGCAGGACTACTAGACTAGGAGAATTCTGGGAAGAGGCATGGAGAGAGGAGCCTCCAGAGAGATACCAGGTAAGTAGGATGCCTGGGCATTCTCCAGTAAGACAAGATGATGCAAAGATACATAGATTAATAGAAATGGGTTAATAATTGGAGAGAGAGAGAGAGAGAGAGAGAGAGAGAGAGAGAGAGAGAGAGAGAGAGAGAGAGAGAGAGAGAGCTAGCCAATAAGAAGCCTAAGCCATTGGCCAAACAGTTTATAATTAATATAAGCCTCCGTGTGTTTATTTGGGACTGAAGGGTGGTGGGACTGGGATGGACAGAAAGCTTTTGTCAACAATGAACAGTTTCTTGAGGCTTCAGAATTATTTTTCATAATAATAAGCTACAAAGCCCCAATTACTCAATTTAAAAACAAAGTCAGAGTTTGGTTATTTTAATAATGTGCATTATGTCTGTATATGTTTTATTTCATTCTTTTCAATTCATTTATACTAAGATCAGGTGGCTATATTTTTGTAGGGAGGTTTTATAATAAAGGTTCTTAAACTTCCCTTATTTCTGTATCTTTGGTAACATTGAATAATTGAATAGCATCAGTCATACAAAGAGCCTTACTGTTGTTTTTGAGTTTTTCCTTTATATACATTGTCAATTATCTTTTTATACTCTCTTAGCTCCAGCCTTCTTACCCGTGCTCCCCCCTCCCCAACTCAGACCTTATGCTTGGAGCACTTTGCCACTCACTGAGCTAAATCCATAACTTTGGGGGCTAGAGAGAGGCCGTAGCAGTTAGCTACTTTGTGGGTATGTACAATCACTCATACTTGCCAGCCCCTATACATAAACAAACAAATGTTTAATCCTTAATTCCCGTTGGCTGTTTATATATTTCTGTGAATTGTGTTTTATTCTATGCCTAGTCTCCCCCCCCCCCTTTTTTTTTTTTTTTTTTTTTTTTTTTTTTGTTAAATGTAATTTCTTTATTGATTCTTTGGGAATTTCACATCATGCACCCTACCTCTCACTTACGTCCTAGTCCCCTCATATCCTTCCCTCACACCCCTGTGGCACCCACAAAAAGAAAATTAAAAGAAAAAAATCAAAACAAGGAAACAAACCAAAGCAAAAATAAAACAGAACCCTCTATAATCTTCCATCTTTTCTATCTCTCCAATACCTCCTTATTCATTCTGCTGTCATTGAGAGTGGTGTGTCACATAATATAGTACCCTTTTGTCCAATCAGCTTTACTATCAAATGTTCATTGCAGTGAGTTTAGGGCCTTTGGTTTCTGGCACACCATCACTACTGGATCTTCACCAAAATTCCTCTGGGGTATCCTGTGGCCACCCCAGTCATGGATATCCTGTGGGTGTTATTCTACATGACTGGTTCCTTCACAAGCTCCAGCAGGTCCTAGGTGGGTGGATGTTAGGATGGGTCAACCCAAGGCCCAGCTGTGGGCCTGTATGTTAGCTGAGCTTGTCATTCTGGGTTACTGGGGCTGCCCACCTCAGACAAGGGGCCAGAGCCAGCTACCTTATACCCATGCTATTGGGATCAGGGTGGGGGTGAGGGCCATCTCTTCTGAGGGTGGGGTGCACAGCTCTCTTGCTGCAGTGTTCAGCGAGAGGCAAGGTCAGCTTTCTTAGAGCCTGCAAGGGAGGCTGACTTAGCATGATCCTTTGATTTTTATCACACATGGTTTCTATGGCCCTCTGAGGTGACACAGGCCTCAGACATGAATACAGACTCTAGCTACAGCTGCACCATGGACCCCAGACATGTCCTTCAGCAGCAGCCTGGGCCCAGACCTCATCATGGTACCTGGTGCAAGCAGGCTTCCCACATCAGACTACCCCTCACCACCTTGTGTTCTGCCTCTTTCCACAGCACACGAACCATTTCATTTCTTTTTATCTCCATGTCTCCACCACCTACTGCTCATGATAATGGGACCCACAGGCCTAGGCTGGTCAATGGGTGGTCAGCACCCACTTGAGCAGAATTGCATTAAATGAACTGTGGACCTTTTTGTTGTTGTTATTTTACATTTATGTTTACTAGGCCTGTTAGGCCTATGCAATATATAATGTCAGTGTTTTCTCTCAGTTCATTATTCACTATTTCATTCTTAATTTGCATAATCTACTCTAATAAATTTATTTTGTTGTTTTCCTCTAAATACTTTTGTGTCCCCTTAAAAAAACTAAACAAAAACAAAACTTTGATTCTTTGTGTATTTCTCAGTATGCATTCCGATATCATCTCCCCATCTCTTTGCATCTGCCCTTTGTCCTTGCAACTTCTCCCCAAATCAAAACCAAATTTAAGAGAAAACCAAACAGAACAAAGAAACAAAAAACAAAAGAAGAATAATATTCTGGAAGTTGTAATGTGTCCTGTGAGACACACAGTTTACCCTTTAGTCTGTTGATGTTTACTTGCAAGTGTTCATTACCATGAATAATTGGTCTGGCTTGAAGTTTACTTTACACCACCGATAATGGTCTCTCATTGGAGCTCCTCATGGATATCCTGTTGTTCTGTGTCATGGAGATCCTGTTGTTTTGGATCTGTAGGTTCATCCCCTTCTCATGCTCCCAACAGTTCATAGATTCAGTGGATGTTGGGCTAGGCCAACTCATAGCCCTGGTTCTGGGCCTGGGTGGTCCTTGGGTTGGTCAGCTTGCTAGCTTTTCTTCATCATTACTACCTGGATGAGCTCTCCAGCACTGCCTCAGCTAGCTCACCCAGTGTACCTACAACAAGGAATAGGGCCAGTTCTCCTACTCTTGGGCCCTGTTACCAGGGCCAGCTTTACTGTTTTATTCAGGCAAGGTGCAACAAGGCCCTCTCTCCCGGTTGCTATAGGGTGCATGGATGGGAGAGGCAGGCAGGCTCAGCTCTCCTGCTCTAGCATCCTTAGGGTTGGCTCAACTATATCCTTGACCACAGGGTCACTTCTAGTGCTTCCAGGTGAGGTGCATATTTATGGTGAGTGGTGAGGGGCAAGCTCTCCTCTGAGGGGTAGGGTCAGTTTGACTGTTGCAGTATCCAATGGAGGGCAAAACCAGCCATCCTCGAGCTAGGGAAATGCTTGTGACCATCTCAGCACAGCATGGTTCCAATGACTCCCATGTTAACTCAGGACATGGATATATCACCACAGACCCAGACATGGCCCTTGGCACCCCTTGGGAATCTGTACACATCACAGCCCCAGTGGCATCACAGGCCCCTCAGATCAGCATGGATCCCCGGCAGTAGCATGTCCCCTAAGTGGCTGGTCAGACCCTGGGCATCCACAGAGCCCTCAGTGGCAACTGGAGCCTTGAACACCACCCCAGACCCTGGCTTCTGCAGGGCCACAGACCCAGAAATGGCCCTAGGCATTGGTCACTGCCAGGATATTTCCATGATTCCAGGTGACAACACTGGCCACCCAGATCATCATGGTCCTGGGTGCAGCACAGTCCTCAGAAACCGATATAGTTTTAGGTGGCTGACCAAATTCTGGTCATCTTACATGACCCTTGATGACAACAAGAGCCCTGGACATTAACTCAGACCTTGCCCAATGTAGGGCTATAGACCCAGACATGGCACTCCGAAGCAGCCCTGGCCCAGATTATGCCTTAGTCCTGGGTGACAGCACAGGCCGCTCAGATCAGGATGTCCCTGGTAGTTGCATAACTCTTGGGCGCCCTTAATGGCCACAGGTTACAGCCAAGACCCTGGGCATCTATGTGACCTTTGGTGGCAACATTGGCATGGACATCAATACAGACCTTGGCTTTGGTAGAACCATGGATTCAGACATGGTCCTAGGTAGCAGCCCAGGCCCAAATGTCACCATGGTCCCAGATGGTAACCTAGGCCCCCACAGGAGCATGGCCCTCAGATTCCAACATGGTCCTAGGTGACATCCTAGACTGCTTAAATCGGCACAGTTTTTTATGGTCTCAGGAGCCACAGACCCTGAATGCAGCTGGGCCATGGACACAGACATGATCCTCAATCATAGCCCTGGTCTGGACTATACTATGGCTCTAGTTGATAGTCTTCTCCACCCAAATCAGCCTGGCCCTGCAGCAACACAACCCTCAGACACCAAAATGGTCAGAGGTTGTGGGCCAGATACTAGGCATCTACCTGAGCCCTTGTGACAACATGGACCAGGGGCATCAACGCAGACCTCGGCTGCAGCAGGATCATGATCTTAGACATGGTTCTTGGCAGCAGCTCAGGTCAGGTTGTTCCCATGGCCCTCACGTGGCTGTATAAGCCACTCGCATTAACATGGCCCCCACAGCAGCTTGGCCATTGAACCCCAATGAGGGCCCCAGTGTCAAGAGGGTCCATAGACATCAAGCACAGGCCCCAATGGCTGCTCCAGGGCTCTTGATCAAGGCCTAGTCCTTGGTCATAGGCCCCTGACATCTCCCTGGACTCAGGTGACCAGCTGGCCATTTACGTAAGACTATTGTTACCACCTTCACCTCTCTCGATCTGCATCTGCCTCTCTTCCCAGCCACAAATCATTCTGCCTATCCTTCTCTTCTACCTCCTCTCCCTGTATTCTCTCACTACAACAGTGCCCAACCACTCAGTGCCAGGTTTTTTGGTTTCATCACAGATGGTACTTGGTTGAATACTGCCTGCCCCAGCCATAAGAGGTGACAGGATGGCATGGAGCTGTTACCTCCCCTCTCTCCCAAGCCTGGGCCTAGAGACCTTGGGCACTACTTGGTGTGAGGATACTCTTGAGCTGGGCAGGCTCCTGGTTGGTTGTGGGCCCCTGTAGACTCAAAAGTCTGCAGTGAGGTGTTGTTTCTTCTTTATTCACCATTCTTTACTATTTCGGTATTAGGTTTGCCACCTCCTATACAATGTTTACTAGGTATTAAGAGTTAGGGGACATAAATTCTGCCCATGCTTTGCAAGCCTTAACAAATCACTTTTGCATGCCTTATATTTCTCTGGGTAGTGTTTTCCCCTCACGTAATTTCTAAATTATCTTTGTAAATGTGAATCCACATTACCAAGTTAAAGAATTAAATGGATTATATACACACGTACTATGTTTGATTGTTCACTCAGACAACTTTTTAAACATTATGTAGAAGTTCAGTGTATTGCCTTTTTAAGTGGGTAGAGAACCTGAGACCCAAGAAGGCTGACTTGATTAGAGCCATAGTTAATTTGTTAACTAATGTGAATGCATTAGTCAATTTTTTTTTGCAATATTAGGAATTGATCCCAGGGCCTTATGCATGCTGAGAATACAGTGTACTATTGAAATGTACCACCAGCCCATATGTTTTGTTTATTTTTAACTGTTGTCTGAATTTCCAACCTTTGGGAGATGTTAATTGTACCATTAAATCATTAAGTGAGGTCAGAAGATACTAGAATTAGACTTTTACCTGCTTTCGTTATTGATTATTTATTTAAAAGTTTTTAGTTTGGAAATAAGACCCTTTATTTGGAGTTTATATGGCTAACTCATAATTAGTTGAATGCCTTAAGTGACTTGAGTTTGTGCTCTTCAGGCTGCAATGGATAGTGCTCGACTCAGTGCTGCCAAGTCCTCTCCCATGATGGAGACAATCAACATGGTGAGTTTCCAAATACAACTTGAAAGCTCATTTGTTTCTCTTTAAGTACAGTTCTTCAAAGACTTCATGTTGTGTAACATGAAACAAACCAAAGGGGGATGCATTGATAAAATACTGTGAATCCAATTTTTTCTTTCAAAAATTTTAAGTTTTTAATGGGTATATAAAAATTGTACATATCTTGGACATTTTTCTTAATTACTAATAGAAGTAAATTTTTTGGATAGCAGAATTACATGGAAAACAACCTTAGTCTTATTATTTTAGTAAGGTTCAGAGGCATGCTATTTGTTTATTTTTATTTTATTTTATTTTATTTTTTATTGTCATTACTTTCTGCCTGCTTCTGAGAAATTTCTTTGGAAAAGACCATGAAATTGTAAGCTTTAGAGGTATTTTAATGAAATTAGTAGTACAGAAGATTGGTGTCAGGAACTGAGCAATAGAGATGTGTTTCAGATGTCAGAAACATTGTGTAGTGAAGCATTCATGGTGCTTTGAGGTTCTGAGTACTGCAGTTCTCAGAGTCTTGGCAGAGCTGCCTTCTGGGTACACTTCTGTAGTTACTAGTAAGAGCTTGTTGCTCCCTGGAGATTGTTTTCTAAGAAGACCACAAACTGGACAAGAATAAGGTTGTTAGTGTCACTGGGGACCATTGCCAGTGTTTAGTCTAAGAATCTTATGTCTTAGTTGTATATTGGAGAAAGTGATAGCAATATTTAGCAAACTTCACTTGGAAATATTCATAAATAATGAATGTCCATAGACATTTTACATTTTAAAAATGATAACAAGCTAAGGTGAAGTCATAAGAAATTGACTTATTTGGAATCAGTTTTAATCTATGCATTTTATATTAGATATAGATTGATAGAGGGAGATTGAAAGAGAGGTTCTTTATTCTTAGGTAACTCTTTCCTCTTTTAATAAACTAATTATGTTTTATTTCAGTTTTAATGTTGAACCATTAGCGAATTTTCTGTTTGCAATACTGTGGTAGTTTAAAATATTCAACTGGAGCAAAAGCAAACTAGTGATTTTTCAACTTTATGTTAAATCCAATGGGTATATATTTGACATGGGTAGTTTTTTAGATGAATATATGATACTAACTTCATTATTTGCTTAGGCTTGCCTTTGTTTTTATTATTTTCTCAAAGTGCCTGCAATATCTTGATGTGTCGGTGCTGGGAGAGCTAGTTCCTAGGTTATGTGAACTGATCAGAAGTGGTGTAGGTCTTGGAACTAAGGTAAGATTGTGTGTTTGTGTGTGTGTAGAGAAAAGTTGTTGTCATGCAGCTAAGGCTGGCCTTCAACTCTATTATATACCGTAGGCTGGTCAATCCTCCTGTCTTAGCCTAATATTGGAAGACGTGTCATACTACACACATTACCACACCCAGTAATGTGTGTCTGTGTGTGTTTATGTATGCCCATGTGTAGATGGAAGTTTCTGTCTGGTCCCACAGTTCCCTTTAGACCCAAATTAACATACAGAGGCTTATATTAATTATAAACTCTTTGGCTTTTTGCTCAGGCTTATTACTAATAAACTCTTACAACTTAAATTAACCCATAATTCTTACCTACTTTTAGCCATGTGGCTTGGTACCTTTTCTCAGTAAGGATTCTCATCTTGCTTCCTCTGCATCTGGCTGGTGACTGTGTCTCTGTCTTTCCTTTTCCCAGAATTCTTCCAGTCTGGTAGCCCCACCTATACTTCCTGCTTGGCTACTGGCCAATCAGCTTTTTATTAATCCAATACTAGTGATAAATCTTTACAGTGAACAAGAACATTATCCCACATTACCTGTGCATGTGGAGCCTACATAATATTTGTTTGTTTATTTTGAAGCAATGTCTCCTATAGCCTCATCTCAGCTCAAACTCCCTATATAGCTGAGGATGGCTTTGAACTTTCGATTCTTCTGTCTATCTTTCCTAGAACTGGGATTATAAGCATCATGCTTGTATGCTATCTTACATGCTATCATGCTCTGCTTGTCTTACAGAACTGGGATTATAAGCATCATGCTTGTATGCTATCTTACATGCTATCATGCTCTGCTTGTCTTACTGTTTTTAGTAAAATTATTTCTGGTTGTCATGTAAGCACTTTTGGATTTTCTATTATTACCAGTCAATGGAGAAACACCCTTATCTGTCAAGGAATATTCATTTTAGATAGTAATTTACTAATTTTCATGTAAGAGCAATAAGTGTTTGGATAGAAAAATATCTTCTTTTTGAGAGTCTAAAAAAGGTCAGATACTACCTTCATCTGCTTACTTTTTCCTACTGTAAAATTTTGTTGTTGTTGTTATTTTAGACCAAATCTAACTCTGGGGTGTCCCCACACAACTGTTCTGCCTCAGAGTTTGCAGTGCTGGGAATGTGTGTGTCATGACATTCAGCTGCATCTCATTTTAAAAGAAATGACTCATTTCTTCTCATGATAAAGTTATTTCACTTATAGTTAGCATTTATAAATCAGGAGAAAGTTAAAAAAAATCATCTGTTTATGTTTCTGAATGTTTCCCTCCTGTGTGTTTTTTTGCATGCATATCTTCCACATTGTGTTTGTTAAAGGGTATGTGATGTTGCTCTGCTTGTGGCAATACATCCTTTATTTTAGTCAAACAAGGGAGATTTGACTTTTCAGCTTTTAAAAAGAAATTAAAGAACCATACATAAATCTGATTTCTTTGGAAATTCCTCAAAATGAAATTGTTACTGCAGTTGTTTGTGATAACGCATCTTATTTGGAGAATTATGCTTTTTTTCTTTCTTATTCATAGTTCTTGCTCTGTATGTTTACAATGCTTTGCTTTTACTATGTTGAATCCCAGAGGAACTATTAGACTTCATATGGTTTATCTTTAAATTGCTGGGGCCTAAAAGAAGTGGCTTGATAGAACATTGTGACATCACACTTAGACCTTTGTTTTTGTAACCTTAAAGGGAGGCTGTGCCAGTGTCATCGTTTCCTTAACTACTCAGTGTCCCCAGGACCTAACACCTTACTCAGGTGAGTTTGTAATATGTAAGGAGATACTTTTTCATGGCTGTGCTGATTTTAGAGTTTTAAAGGGAAAATTATTTGGACATGCTTGTGTGCTTTGCTTTCATTCAAACTTGACACAGTTGTTTTGTTAGCAAGCTTTTATTGTCTTACAAATAAGTTTCTCAGTGTTGTAAAGAGATAAAAGTACCTTTCATTCTGCAGAACTTTACTCCCTCTTTTTTTTTTTTTTCCTGTTTATAACTAACTTTACATGTTTTTTTTTCTCTCTTCTAGAGAAATCCTGGTAGAATTTTTGTATATAGCTCTCAATTTTGTATCATTTCCACAATATTCTAGACATAGGTTTATTTTTAATTTTTAAATCAAATGAAAGAAAGGGAGTAGGTAGAACAAATAATATTCAAAAGATCTAAACTACTATGTAGTAAATCTGATTAATTTCAGGGTTATGGGGTGTTTAGTTCTAACAATGTAACAGACTATTTGGCCAACCACACAAATAGATATTTTTATGTATTCCTATAGGTAAACTTATGAGTGCTTTGCTTAGTGGCCTAACAGATCGGAACAGTGTAATTCAGAAATCCTGTGCATTTGCCATGGGCCATTTAGTTCGGGTGAGTTGAATTTCTTACTCAGTTAAGTACAGCTCTGGGAATTACCAACAGCGAGTGAGTAGAGTTGTTTGTTTTCCAGACGTCACGGGATAGCAGCACTGAAAAACTGCTACAGAAGCTCAATGGCTGGTACATGGAGAAAGAAGGTACCTTTTTTTTCTGTTTTATGTCATTTGTAAGTTTAGGTATTAACCAAATAAACTACTGTTTTTGTAGGAACATTTTTAATTGGTTTATTTAGATCATTTTCCCTGAAAAATAGTAAATGCTTACAAAATTTTGGTTTCTTCTTCTCTTGAGAACCTATCTACAAGACCTCTTGTGCTTTGACTATTCATGCAATTGGAAGATACAGCCCTGATGTATTGAAGAACCATGCCAAAGAAATTCTGCCCTTGGCCTTCCTAGGCATGCATGAAATTGCTGATGAGGAGAAATCTGAAAAAGAAGAATGTAATTTGTGGACTGAAGTGTGGCAGGAAAATGTACCTGGTTAGTAAATGGTAGCTGCAAAGTAAATGTGTTTCTTAAGAACATAGCTGGAATTTTGACTCATATTGTTTCTTCATAATTTTTCAAGGACTTGAACATGTGTCACATTTAATTTTTAGGGCCTCCTAATTTCTAAGTTTTTGAAGTGCCACTCAGAGCTCTTTTCTTTGACTTGTTGCTGTATGTGTGAGAGAATATAAACTTTCTAAACAAAGCAAACCTTACTTAGGTTAGTTGAATATAATTGTGATTTTATGTGGTCTTAGAGTATTATTGTAGAGCTGTATTTTTAACCTTGATACACATTAGTGATGATAAACTTTTTTGAATAATATCTCAGCAGTATGTCATAGTTCATGAATTCCTGCTGTTACATAAAGAAGCTGCACTACTCCCTGTGTCTAACTTTAGCAAGTGGTGTGTATGGTTTATGAGTTGACAGTCATGCTTTAGGTAGATGGCACTGACTTACATTTAAAAATTATTTTTAAAATGTTTTCTTGTCACTTGAGAGGTGTTTTAACTTTTCTTTCCTTTTACATGTAGGCTCCTTTGGAGGTATTCGATTATATATGCAGGAGTTGATTGCTATTACCCAGAAGGCCTTACAATCGCAGTCTTGGAAAATGAAAGCCCAGGGTGCAATTGCTATGGCATCAATTGCAAAACAAACAAGCTCTCTAGTACCTCCATATCTGGGAATGATACTGAGTGCTTTGGTGCAAGGCCTGGCTGGAAGAACATGGGCAGGAAAGGTAAAAGAAACATTCATGTTAAAGAATCAGGACTGTATCTTTCTATAGAGTAGGAATCTGATTTGATGTGACTTTGAATTACTTTTGCAGGTAGGTTTTCTAGCTAGTGAATTTATATCAAAGTATGTCTTATATGTTCTTGAATAAAGCCTAGTAATTTTAGAGATTGGAATATTTTACATATTCAGCTGTAGAAGTTACCTCTTAAACCAGGTCATCATTTTGTGCCCACTGACCTTCAGTAGAGCCAGAATTGGCCATTTGTGAAATTAAGTACATTGAACTACTTCTAATCCTGGCTTGATAATTAGAAACTTCTTATACAACGGGTATAGAAAAAAATATGTATAATGAACATTCCATGGGAAACGTGATTGTGGCAATATTTGCACTGTATTTTGTAAAGTGGCCACCATAGTGTTGTGGTCATAATAATGGATTGCCTGGTGACCTTGGTTACCGGTTCTTGGGCTTTTATGAGTTAGAGATTGGTGGTTTGGGTAGAATTCAGTAATGTGCATAAGTGAATAAATGTTAGTTTTTGTTGTGGTAGTTATAAAATATTCAATGGGGTGATTGTAGTCATAGTGCAAAGAATGTGAAATGTAGGTTTAATAGTATTTCTTCATCTTTAACTTATCAGGAAGAACTACTAAAAGCCATTGCCTGTGTGGTGACAGCTTGCAGGTAAGTATTTTATTAATGAATTTAATGTGAAGCTTAAAGCTATAGTTTTTTTTTTTTTTTTTTTTTTTTTTTTTTTTAACTATTCTGATATTTTTGCATGGATTCCATAGTACAGAGTTAGAGAAGTCTGTGCCCAACCAACCCACCACAAATGAAATTCTTCAGGCTGTCTTGAAGGAGTGTTGCAAAGAGAATCTCAAATATAAGATTGTAGCAATCAGCTGTGCAGCTGATGTTTTGAAAGCCACCAAAGAAGACAGATTCCAGGAGTTTTCTGATATTGTCATACCCCTCATCAAGAAGGTAATGGCTACCTGTATCATCTTAGATTTTCCTGTCCTGGTTATGTATTTTTACTAGGACAAGTTTAGCAGTAAAGTAACAGAAAATCCCCAGAATATTATGGCCTCAAACAAGGTAGAAGTTTGTCTTACTGGATAGTTGGAAGCCCCATTAAGTCTTCAGGGATCCTAGAGACGTATTTCTTATACATTGTCCTCACGGTCTGTGGTTTGTGTTTCAGGCAGATGACCAAGGATATAAAGTTAGGATCATAGTAAAACATTTAATTTCTCTCAAGAAAATTTCTAGAAACAGAAACATATTGCTTTGATTCGCCTTCCATTGCTAGCACATAGCCCCATTTGGCAGCAGATGAGGCTAGGAAAGGTAATTTTTCATATGGGCACTCTTTCTCCACCTGTGGGAGGAGGAAGAGAGTACCTATATAGTGAATAGCTCTTAATAAATTCTACCTTGCCAGCATGTGCACATGCCAAGTAGTCATTTAGTGTGAAGACAAGTATTGTGTGTTGTATAGTACACCTCTGCATTGTCTTGGGGAATTTTGGTTGTAAAGAAAAATGACAAATACTTAATTTGAAACTGAAGTACTCATCTTTTAATAAAGTGGACATTGCAAGGAAAGAGGGATGTAGTTGGTCTGTTTGTTTTGGTTAGTTTTGAGACAGGCTCATTTTATTATGTACTGACGGCCATCCTAGAACTCACCATGTAGCTGTGTAGACCATTGTAGCCTCAAACTCACAGAGAGCTACCTGCCTTTGCCTCCTGAGTCCTGAATAAAAGGCATGCACCACCACTCCTGGCTTGATCTACTTATTTTTAAAGCATCAAACATTATCGCTTGTGTTGCTCCTAATTCATATATCTGTTTTCTTTCAGTAATAAGGCTGTTTTAGGTATTTCTGTGGTAATGTATGGGTTTTGGAGATTGGTATTTTAAATAGATTATGTTGTCTGTGAACTTGTTTAATTACTTCTGGCTTCTTTACCAGTTTTTCAAAAGTTGTGTTTGGGTCATTGCTAAGTTCTCTCCATCTTTAATTCTCTTGATTCAAATGCACATCTTTGTAAGTTACTCTCAGAGTAGTACATATTCGGCATTTTTTTTCACTTTCATTTACAAATTCTTTTAAAGTATTTCTGAAATTTATTAGAAATGTATACTCTTAATACAAACATAAGAACTCATGGTAGAGAACTTTTAGTTCTTGGTCAATATCTCCTGTTCTACACTTTGATTGTTTTAATAGTATAACTGTAATTTGAAGAAGGAAATAATACAATTTTCTTTACCTTTTTTGAAATGTCCTAGAACTCACTTGAAAGCATGGGAGTTCGGAGCACCAAAGGTGAAGATGAAAATGATAAGGAAAGAGAGCTGCAGCTGGAGTCTCTGCTGGGTGCCTTTGAGAGCTTGGGCAAAGCCTGGCCCAGGAACCCAGAAACCCAACGTAAGCATCCCAACACAAACTTGTAGAAGTCCTGTAGCCAGAAGTCACTTGGCAAGAACACAGAGTTTCTTCATGGCTTAGTAATAGTTCTTATGTAGTCTGAGTATTAATAGTGAGAATATCCTATATCTATTTTACTCTTACACCAGCAAATAAGTACGTGATTGGATCACTGTAGTATTAGGGATACTTTAGGAAAGTATCACAGGGGCATGGAGAAATAACTCAGTGGTTAAGCACATTCACTAGCTGCTCTTCTGGAGGACCCAATGAGTTTGAGTCCAAGCATTCACATCCATCTGTAACTCCTGACCCAAGGCATCCAAGAGCACTCATGTGGTGCACAGATAAACATCCTGACAAAACACCCATACACTAAATAAATAAATAAATAAATAAATAAATAAATAAGAAAGATAAAGGTAAAAAATATATCTTTAAAACAAAAGTATCACAGACTGGATGGTTCAAGCAACATATTTTTTTTTTTTTTTTCCTTCTTGATTTTGATGGGTAGAAGTAAGTACAAGATCAAGTAGACTTGGCTTCTTCTGAGACTTTTCTACTTACTTTGTGAATGGTTGCCTTTCTTGTCTTTACATGGCTTCCTTCTGTGCTGCTGTGTCCTGATCTCTAGTAAAGGGATTAGATTCGGATTCAGCCAGATAATTCCTTTAAGTATTGTATCTTTTAGTATAATGTAAGAATGTTGGGTAATAACAATGATGATGCATTTTATGTAGCTATTTGACTATAAAAGAAGTTTTGTTACTCTTGTTTATGTTCATAGCTCTTTTCTTAGAAGCCTACAATATTAGTAGAATTCCTTCCTTTCAAAATTGCTGGCCTTGCTATCAAGTCTTCAGTAAGCAAGTGATAGTTATTTTATTGAGAAACTCATGGCATAGATTTTCAGAATTAAATATATATTAACAAAGGATTAAAAATAGTAAACCTTGATTAATGGTTCAAGTTGTAGTTACAGCCGGCCCATTGACAAGGCCTTATATTTGAACAGATGCTAAATATTTTGTCTTGTTCTAGGAACTACAGTCTGTCCCAATGAATTATCTCTGTATTTATTATTTGTATATGTATATTTTCTTTGTATAGTATATTTTCTTTGAGCCCATCATTCTTTGTGTAGCATATGAAGAATTTCTCAAAAAAAATTATCAATTTGTGAGTGGTTATGAACTATAGTGGAAATTGGATTGCTTGATTAACTTGCCTCATAGCTAGAGAAGGGTATAAAATACTGCTAAGAGTTTGGGAGAAATTCCATGTCCACAATTAAAGGCATTTTTTTTGTGCCTTTCCTCCACTTTTGTCTGTTTTTAATGCTGCATATTCTTTTTCTCTGTCCCTCCTTTGTTATCTCTCACTTTTTACATATTCCCTCCTCTGTCCCTCTTCATCTTCTTCCCAGGTTGTTATCGTCAGGAGCTGTGCAAACTGATGTGTGAACGACTAAGACTCAGCACATGGAAAGTGCAGCTAGGTGTCCTCCAGTCGATGAACGCCTTTTTCCAGGGGTAATTTGCTTCATGATTCAGGTTTTTATTTTATTTCCCTATTGAATGGAATTCTTAACATTTGCACATTTTTAAAATAGAAAATAGATTCTTTTCTCACACAGTATATCCTAATTATAGTTTCTCCTCCTTCTACTCCTCCCCACTTCCCTCCCTTCTGGTTCTACTCCCTCTGTCTCTCATTAGAAAAGAACAGATTTTCTAAGAGATAACAACCAAAAGTGACAAAACAAAAACTATCGTATCAAAGTTGTACATGCAACCTAGCAGGAAGAAAAGTCTCGAAGAGCTATCACTAAAGTCAGAGACCCACTCATTCTTGGTCAGGAGTCCCATAAAATATTAAGCTAAGAGCTATAATGTGTACTCAGAGGTCCAGGTGTAGACCCATGTAGATATGGTACTTGCTGCTTCCATCTCTGTGAGCTCATATGTGCCTTGCTTAGTTGATTCAAAGGGCTTTTTCTCCTGGTGTTCTTAATCTCTGGCTCTTATAATCTTTCTGCCTCTTATTCAGAGGAATTCTCTGACCTCTGATTTGATGTAGATCTCTCATTTAGACTCTCTCTCTACATAATGTCTGGCTGTGGGTCTCTGCATCTGTTTCCATCCTCTTCTGGAGGAAGCCACTTTGATGATGACTGGATAAGGCACTGATGCATGAGTACGGCAGAATATCATTAAGAGCCATTTTATTGATACCCATTCTTTTTAGATCAATAGTGTTTGGTTTTACCCTAGATCTCTGGGCTACATAGTTTCTGGTTCTTGGTCACCTAAGCTGTGTCAGGTGTGGATTCCTTCTCAAGGAGTGGGTGGCCCTTAAGTCAAAATAGGTATTGGTTGGATGCTCACACAAATTCTGTGCCAACATTGCCCTAGTGTATTTTATAATCAGGACAGATGATAGGTCAAAGGTTTTGTGGCTGAGTTAGTGGCCCCCCTTTTTTTTGTTTTGTTTTTCTGGTAGACTGCAGAGGACTTTTCCACACCAAAGAGACTAAAATGTAGCGGTAAAGGCTCCCTGTAGACACTAGTTCAACATCTCCATGTTCAGTGAATTGTGTGGGTGTTGTCCTGGGCAATGGGACTCCACTATCAGTTTTTAGAGAGCAACCTTTTGTCTTAGCAATAGCCTGAGTTTTTTGAGGATTTCTGTGAGACCCCCTCCCCCTGCCTGACCAACATCTCAGTTGAATGCAGCCCAGTCCCATAAGCCTCACCTGGCTACAAAAGATGGCCAGTTGAGACTCGGTACCCGTCATTATTCACCTTCATAGATTCCAGGAAGTTTTCACTGCACTATGCTTCCATACCACCCTGCAAATGCCCCCAGCTCCAGCCATCTCTGCCTTCTTTTCCTCACCCCATGTCCTCCACAGCTTGTAGTTTCTTGCCCCCTCCCTCCCTCCTACCAGCCTGCCTTTAAAATCTATATTCCCCTCCCAGGAAAATTCATGCATTCCCCCTAGACCCTTTCTCTTTATCTAACCTCTCTGGGTCTATGGATTGTGGCTTAGTTATCATTTATTTAACAGCTAATATCCACAGATAATTGAATACATACCATATTTATCTTTCTGGGTCTGGGTTCCTTACTCAGGATGTTTTTTTTTGTTTTGGTTTGTTTTTTGTTTTTATGTATTTTTGTTTTGTAGTTCCATCCCTTTGCCTGCAAATTTCATGATGTCATTTTTAAACAGCAAAATAATACCGTATTGTGTACATTTACACAGTCTTATAATTAATTTAGATACTACTAGTATATGAAATATCATGATAAGTGATATGTACAGATAGAAGTTATGCTAGGAAGGTTTTAAACTGTTAGTGTTGAGTGACATTGTATGTCACTTTTATGTTTATAGGTTAATGCTTTTGGAGGAAGAACATGCAGATTCTGAAGCTCTGGCTGAAATTCTTCTTGAAACTTGTAAATCAATTACTTACTCTTTAGGTGAGTGTAACTAGAATTTGAATAGTTTTTTGTTGCTGTTATTTATTTTGTTTTTGATGCTGGTGCTGGTGATCAGGCACAGTCCTTCATGCGTGCTCTTAGGCAGGCACTCTACCACTCAACTATATATCTTCACCCCTTCTTTGTTTTGAGTCAGGGTCTCTTTTAAGATATTTGTTGCTGTGAAGAGACACAATGACCATAGTAACTCCTACAAAGGAAAACATTTAATTGGGGCTGACATAACAGTTTCAGAGGTTTAGTCCATTATCATTATAATGGAAAATGGCAGTGTTCTGGCCAGGCATAATGCTGGAGAGGTAGCTGAGAGTTTTGTATCTTTATTCACAGGCAGCAGAAGACTGAGTGCCACACTGGGCTTAGCTTGAGCGTATGAGATCTCAGTGCTGGCCCTATAGTGACACACTTTCTCTAACAAGGTTATATCTACTCCAACTAGGCCATATCCTCAATAGCACCACTCCCTATGGGCCAAGTATTTAAACACATGAGTCTATGGGGTCCATTTCTATTCAAACCACCACAGTCATCATACTCGGCTCAAGTAAACCTGATTTTAAAACTAAGGAGCTGAGTCTTAGGATCTAGCTGTCTGGATCATTGCTGACTGTTCTATTTATATACCATATGTACCCTGACAAGGGTGTTTTATCCGGAATTACAGTAGAATTTTAGATTTACCTTTACGTCAGCATTAAACATTTTTTAAAAATAGTTTCCAGTTTTATAAAACTGTTAAAATAGCTCAGTTAGTACCTATATATACTTAACAGGAGTTATCAGCTAACACTGTTGTCCCCTTTATCTTTTGGACTTCTTTATCTTTATCCTGAGCCCTTCAAAAGTGTATTGATTATAACATGTTCCTTTATTTCTTAAGTTCTTGAGAGTATATTTTTTTTAATTAAAACTGTAGTTATCAAATTTATACAATATTGCATGAATGCAGGTTTTACCAGTTTTTTTTTTTTTTTCTCATTCATATTGTAATTTCTCAAGTAATTTTTTGGTTGGATCTCACATCCCCTTCAACTCTCCATTAAAACATACAGCCCAGGACCAAATATTAAATACAATTATCATAATTTTATAGTTTATCACACACACTCTCTCTCTCTCTCTCTCTCGCTCTCATTTCCCTTAGACAGGGCTTCTCTGTATAGCCTTGGCTATTCTTGAACTTGCTCTGTTGTCCAGGCCGACCTCTGCCTCCAGAGTGTTGGGATTAAAGTGGTGCACCATCCTTCACTCCTGGCCTTTATAGTCACTTCTCATTTGGCACATTCCTTTGGCCTCTCTTTCTCTTATATTATACTCATGATTTTGAAGGATAAAGCCTTTCCCTCCTTTTTTTGAAAAAATAACAATTCTCATTTGTTGTTTGTTTGGCATTTCGTCAGGCTTGGATATAGCTTATGAATTCCGATGTTAATGTGTTTTTCCTCACATCAAGAGGTATGCAATGTTCACAGCTTTCCTAATTTTTCATTGTTAACTTTGTTTACCTAGTCGAGGTACTGTGGATTTTGTCTCTAATATCATTCTTATTTTTCCTTGTATTTAATAGCATACTTTATTATTATTATTATTATTATTATTCAATTAATCTCCTCTTCAATCTATTAAACAGTTTGTGAGAAGACACTATAAGACCATGACTTACATGTATTACTCTTTGAAGTTTATCCTTTAGATTTTGTATGCATTGATGATTCTTCTCTAAGCCAGTTCTTTTCTATGGTGTTATTTTTTTTTTTTTTTTTTTTTTTTTGTCAACTCTAGGCCTTTCTCCACATTAACTATTTGGTAGTTGCCATTTTAATTTGAACAAGATTCTTCTCTTCTTCCTATTTCTTTATTTATGCATCATTAGTCATTATTAATTCATAACTCCCCACACACACCAATCTCTCAATGTTTTATAACTAATTATTTTTAGGAGTTAATTTTAATTATGTGTACTTACACTAGTGTCCTCACAGTCCAGAGGTGTGAGGTTCTCATGAAACTGAAGTTACAGACTATTGTGAGCTGCCAGTGTGGGTGCTACGACTTCAACTCTGGGCCTCTGAGCTGCATGAGGATTACATGGTGCTGATCCATCTCTCTAGCTCCTGATTATTGTCATTAATTAATTTGTTATTTAATTGTCTTAGATATTACTAATGAAAGTCTCTGCAAGCTGATTCCCCTGTCCCTTTGAGGGGGGGGGTCACTATCATTTTTTGTAGTACTTCACTTCCCTGGACTTAGATGCATAGTAATTTTGGTTAGACAATTCTCCAAAAACTCAGTGCCTTTTGTGAATGAGTATGTACCAACAAAGCTTGTTTTGTTTGTAATTCTTGGAAGTAGCATGCTTTTGTGGCTATAGAGCTGTAAGCTAAATGAGGATCATGCAGATCAAAGCCCTGTTTTATGTATGACATAATTATGACATGTGTTTGGGATAGTGTGTTTTGATCTCCTGTGTCTAAGATGAGTCTTTCAAATATTAAATATATTAGGGCTAATATATTTGGCTGTCAACAGTGCCTCAAAATAATGAATGTGGACATAGAGCATAATTTAAATATTTGATAATAATTACCAAATAGAAGTTTTCTTCAAAAATGAATCCACAGAGTTTTAACTTTTTATGTTTCGGTAACACTAATTTACTCTTGGGAGTTCTGTTTTTAAAACATACTTATGAATTGCCTATTTTCCTCCTTAGAAAATAAGACCTACTCATCTGTGAGAACAGAAGCTTTATCTGTGGTAGAATTGCTGCTTAAAAAACTTGAAGGTGAGTTCTGATTAGAGTACCAAAAATCCAGGATACTTTGTGACATACACTTTCAGGATATTTTTTATTTGTTTTTGCTAATGGTGTAAAATACACATTAATGTATGTGCACATACAAGTAGACTATAGAGAACTAAAGTCATTAAATTTTAAAGATTTCAGATTTTTTTTTGCATGTTCTTCTTTTTTAATGTAAAAGTATCATTCTCATATGAATACAAAATGGAAACATATCAGTGATTCCAATAGCTTATGATAACAGAGTCAGTCAATGTGACAAGAAAACTATTCTGGACTTCAAAGCTCAGGTGGATTTCCCTGGCTGGCAGTACCACAGATAAATTGTCACACATGATTGTTTGGGGACAAGTAAGCAATATATATGGAAGAAAACAACAGAAGCCTATGAAAGATTTCAGTTTTGTTCCCTATATTTATACATTTCTAATGAATTATTAAGCTATAGTTATCTTGAGAAGTAATTGAAGTTTTTTCATCGTGAACTTTTATATAATCTTGGTTATCACAAGAAATGGTTAGTTATGATAGAGCAGAGCTTGTGGGGTGTATGTTTAATAACAGGCTGTTTTATCAGAGACCCAAAAAGCATGTTTTTGTCCTACTTTCTCTGTCTTTAAGAAACCTTACAAATGCTGTGTTGTGTTAATGGGAGAAGAAAAACAGCTTCTTTTTTTCCCCCCTGTTACATATCTGTGTCTATTCCTCGTTCCTCCTCCCCTTCCTTCTCCTTTTCCTAGTCTCCTATTCCATGAATTAGTAGTGCAGAGATGAAATGGTTTTCATCATAAACTTGTGAGTTTGACATTTGTACTTTCCCTCTTTTTGCTTAGCAACACCTATCCTAGGTATCTGCAAAATGGGCCTTTTAGACTCAGGATAACTAAATATCACCTAGTGTATTTTTTTTTTTTTTTTTGTCTTAAAATAAAAAAGCTTAGCCATATGGTTGAATTCCAAGTTTTCTAGGTAGATATTAGATGTTCAAGATGACAAAAGTAAGCTCAAACAACTTGCTTAAAGCTGGACATGGTAGTATAGGCTTATAATCCCAGCCTCGAGAGGTAGAGACAAAAGGATCAGGAGTTTAAAGCCAGTGTGAACTACATGAGATCTTGATGCAACAATAATTACTTACTTTAAGGCACATCACTAAAAGTGACAATGTTATAAATGGAGTTAAGATTTGCTTTCTTATTTTTTTTTTTTTAAGTATCACAGTGTTTATTGATAGATACAGCTATATAAATAAAATCAGGGCATGAACATGATAAATTAAGTAGACGTAATTTCAATACTGTAATAAGAGGGACCAATCCAAATTCTCACCATTTGTTTCACACTCTCAAAAACCACTTCAGGGCATTAAAGATCTCTCAAAACTGATCAGTTTTGTGTAGGTAAGCCATCTTTCTTTTAAAAAGACTTGTGCACTTGCCCAGGCTCAAGGATATTCAAATCTAGCACATAAAGCCCATTACTAGAGGTAGAAATACAGGCAATATACTATTTTGGCAACAACCATCAATTATAGTTAAAAATTTCTCTGTAACAACCAAATGGATAATCAAATACTGCAGCAACTCAAGTGTTACTGAGCAAAGTGCATCTCTACAGTATTCAGTATTGCTATTCAGTTTTCTAACTTAAAACAGCTTATCTTATTTTTTTTTTTAATTTCAGTATATATATGGTTCTCCAGGGCTTTTTAAAGGAAGGGTAATAAAGTGTTAGCTACTTAAACTGTACAGTTTTGAAACTTCCCTTTTTTTGCATGTGATGTGGCTGGGATGACTACTTTGCCCCTGTGCTTTGATGCTTCGTTCTTCCCAGTTTGCTGCTATATAAGCTTATCTTCCTTGTCTCATTCTTACTGGGGAAGGGGTGAAACTCCTGACATGCTTTCAGGCTGTTGTCAGGGATTGGGTTTGAGACTTCTATCCAACCTGTGATTGTTATATACCATTCTCTTAATTATAGAGTTGCTGTGTGATTGTTTCGGGGATAGGATATATTGAAGAAAGGGTTAAGTTTTCTTTTTTTTCTTCCTTGATTGTTCTGTAATGATTTTCTTCCTGTTTTCTCCCCATTTAGAAGCTAAACAGTGGGAAAGTTTGACGGCGGAATGCAGAAGACTTTTGGTTGAGTCTTTAGCTACTATGGAGACAGACAACAGACCTGAGCTGCAGGAGAAAGCCACAGTATTGAAGAAAACACTTGAAAGTCTGGAATGAATGAGAATGGGAAAAAACAAACAAGTGCCATGTTCTTTTGGGATTGGAAGTTTGGAAATGGTGGTATTCTTTAAAAACCAAGGTGGGGGGGTGGGGAGTAAAGATTACTCTGTAGCATGCATCATTCCTTGGCTGAAATAAAAAAAAAAAAAAAAAAAAAAAAGCCTTAAATTTTGCTCCTTTTAGCTTTATTTTACTTGTCTTTAAAGTATGTGGGCTAAATGAGCTTAATAGAACTTGGGTTTTCAAAAGGTAGTTGTAAATAAGTATGCCAGCCATCATTGCTAAAAAGAACTGAAAATATTATAAATGAACTACAGGGTAAGCTGAATTAAAATCTTAGCACTACATCCATGCTAAAATTATTTCAGGAAGGGACCCTGTAAATCACTTGACTTATAACCCCATTTCTTGCACACCTGAAGTAATAGGAGTGGGGATGACAGCTTCCTTTCTAAGGCTGGAGTCAAGGCCATACCCAGAATTTAATGTCCTGTCCTGGAAACTTTTCTCAACCAGTTACCAAGCCAATGTTTCCTTGCCCTGCCCTAGAAATTCCCAAAGGGAGCTAAACCCTTATTTATCACTTTTGAAAGTCAGATTATGCACATTGCCTGTGATAGGTAATCAATTTTTAGGGAATGGTTGTTCAGCATTTTTATAGGTTGAGAATAATTTGGGTTCCATAAAATTCTGGTCAAAGTCCTTATACCTGAAGATGAAAATAGATGGGAACAAGATATTTTCTACTTCTTATTGTGATGCATACAGTGTGACATGGTTGGATAGATGGAAAGCCTTTCATTTAACTGTCTAAGAATTTCTCTTCCTTAAATGCCCTTTCTCAAATTGGCATACCACTCCAGGAAAACTGTCGTTGCCAGGGTCTCGTGCAAAGTTAGTTTTACTTAAGTGTTTATGGTAAGCTAAAAATTCTATACCCTGTCTTGGGTTCTGGAGCACAAAATAGATTTATACATTCAGTACTGTCCCCTTGATGACATCAACACCTGAAATTTCTGTGGTCAATATTTTTGGTGGAAACTCCATTTTTATTAGTTTGGTATTCTCCAGATCAGTGTATTTAAAATATTTTGAACTGTGACTCACAATAAAAATAACCTTTTACATCATGACCCAGAATGTGTGTGTGTGTGTGTGTGTGTGTGTGTGTGTGTGTGTGTGTGTGTGTGTGTGTGTATTTATGCATGTTTGAATGTAAAAATCTTTAACTGAAATAAATACTTCAAGAAGAAATAGTTGCAAAGTTTGATATACTTTCATCTGAGGTGTGTGTCTTATAAATGTTCTTCAGACTCACTGAATTCATTTCCTAACTCATAACTAGGTTGCTATTCCAGTTTGAACAACATTGAGAGTACCTAAATTTCTACTAGGGTTTGAAATTGTTTCTGGTTGAAAAACGGTTTACAACTAAAACCTTCAGTGCTCACTTAATTATCATCTTTGCTGATTCAGGACTGTACTAGTGACTTTTTAGAATGTGATGAATTTTAAGCAATCTGGTGTAGATTGTGTTTAAGAATGACTTTTGCATTAGAGAAAAACGAATGGCTTCAAATGTTCTTCAGAAAACTGATCTCTCAGGACTTGTGGTTTTGGATCAGCATTGAATGCACTAAGGATGTATCTGATTTACATGTGTAGTAACCAGGGTACTTCCTGGGCAAGAAGAATACAATGCAGGTCAGGTGTGCTGAAGGTGAGCATGTAAGGGCAAGAATGATATACTTGGTCTGTAGCACATATTGAAACCTCATCAAATTTTATGCTTTTAAAGCATTTTGTTATTTAATATTGGGACTTTCCCTTGGTGCTGAGAGTGGTGCTAAGACACCTTAAACTTAGTGCTATTGAACTGCATTTCTTTTTCTTCCTGAGTACATTTCTAATTTATATACTTAATGCCTTCATGTTTGCTAGCCAACATTTTCACAGCTAGTAATTCTATGTTACTGTTTCAAGTGTGGTTTGTAGTTGGCATACATATGTTTATTTTAAAAGGTTAATAATCAGGACTTTGTAATTGTGGAATGTTGGTACTGGTGAAAAAGTGGTAAAGGTACCTGTACATTAATCATCAGCCTTTATTTGCAAAAGCAATCTTGAAAAGGTTTGATTTTTCTCTATATATTCACTTCTGTTTGCCATGCAGGTAACTCATTTGTAGGATCTGTTCCTTATTCCTGCCATTAGTTCACTAACTATATCTTTATTGATAACATGAAAAGGAGATGTTGAAAATGTGGCATTTGGATTAAACATGAAAATGGTCTAGTTTTGATGGTCAAGAGAAGCTATTTATTTAATGTTTGTGCCCAATTTATAATTCCTAGGGGATCTTGTCTGTAACACAGTCCACCTACATAAGGAGGCTACCAAATCCCCATTGCTTTGCCCTTCCATTTTTTTTTTTTAAACTCATGTATTAACCAACAAGAAAAAGAGTAAAGATATGACCTCACTGGTTGGTGCTCCATGAGCAATTGTGCTGTGTGAGCACTGGCTGTCCTTGTGGAACATTTCTACCTGCTGCTGTCACAGTATATTCATGCTGCTTGTTAAGTTCAGGGAGTTATTTTGACATTGGCACTTACTGAACTGTGCAATCTGTCATTAAATGGATGTATATGTAACAGATTTTTGTATTTTATATGCAACTTCTTCTTAGAGCCTCTGCAATATGTACTTAGCTACCTAAGCATGAAATAGACTTATTTGAAAGGAAAACCTCACCTACACCCCAAAGATATTAAATGGTAAATAAAAGCTGCATGACTTGGTGTTTTGAAGTAGTGCTTTTAGTTTTTATTAGTTCTGTTGGAAAGTAATCTGACTGCTAACACTTTGACTAGTTGTATTTTAGGAAGGGTGGGAGGAGAGAGATCTTATGCCATATTCCCCATATGTCTAATTAATAGAAACTTCTGGCTGGGAGTTCCAGACATCATGAACTGCTTTCATGATAGAATTTCCTGATAAAAGTGACTACATGAGCATATGGGAACAGCAGGCATCTGGGATTAAAACATTGTTTACTCCCAAGTGAGATTACCAGCCTGAGCTGTTACAATGCTTTTAGTAATCTTGTTCTATTGGTTTCAAATTGATGAGAAAGAATGTTACAAAACATGAAAATGAGTCTTTCAAATGATGTTTATGGAAAGATTTAACAGTTTATTTTCCTTTAAAAATGGTATGGAGGGAGGGTAAGATGGTAGATGAAATGTTTTCTTCAGGTGACTCGGTAAATGAGAAGAGTCAATAGTAAAGGAGAAACTAGGCTATTCTGAGGAAAGAGAAGATGACTGACCATCAGTAATAAAGAAGATGAGAAGCATGGAAAATCTGGAATGTTTTGAAGAAAATTAACAGCTCACAACTCCAGCCCTTGCTTTTTTTTTGCCAGGAAGGGGGACCTAAGGCCACAACTAGATGGTAAGTCAGGCAGCCCTGATGATGGCATATTGATAGCCCTATAGGAGATGCCTATAGTCTTCAAACACCTTAAATACAGTCTGACAGTGACTCCTATACTGCAGGCTAGCCTAGAGTAGAAATACATTAATTTATTTCTCTTTACATCTTAGATTCCTTTATAAATAGCCAGGCATCTTTACCTTGAGGGGGAGCCTAGTTGAGGTTGAGCAACTTTGGAGATGTGAGGAAGAAAAATCTCAAGGAACAGAAGGATACCCTGAATGATATCTTAGTGGGAAAGGGTTTTGAGAGGCAGCTGTGCAGGTCAAACTTTAAGTAGTCGTGAGCTCATTGAGGGGGTGGTGGTTGGCGATCTGTAATCTGTTACTGCAGAGACCTCAGTTGCTTGCCTCAGAGTTGCCTCCATTCTGTGTATATGGTTGGCTGTTAGGTGAAATGGTTCTGGGAATGACTAGGATTTCACAGCCTTCTTTCTACCACAGGGTTATTTATAGCTAGGGAATGTAATCCCAGCCATTAGCCAGCATTTAGAAAACTTAAAATGAATAGGGAGATCCAGAAGAAGTGAATAAACTAGATGTGATCTGTCAAAATTCAACTGTAGAGCAAAAACAATAATAGTTCCCTGACAAAGAATGGCTCAGTACTAGATGGATTCACAACTGAATTGTACCAACACTTAGACTGTCCCATAAAACTTGAAAAAGAATGTGTCCCAACTGACTCTACAAATTTGGTATTATTCTAATAGCAAAATCTGTAATGAACACAACAAAAACTGTAGGCAATTTTCTTAATACTGATGCAAAGATTTTAATATTGTAAATAAAATTTAACATAATTAAGATCATATACCAACATTAGTTTCATCTCATGTAAGGGTGATACATTAATGGCAAACCAATAAATAGAAAATAGCATATAAATAAAATACAAAAATCACGTCACTTGATGAAGAAAATAGTTTTGATAAAACCCAACATTTCTTCATGGTAAATCCCTTAAAGAAACTAAGAATAGAACTGATGGGAGATGTCATTCTGTATATGTTTCTCATACTGGTTAATGAATAAAGCACTGTTGGCCAATAGGAAAGTTAGGTAGGCGGGACTAGGAGATGAGGAGGAAAGAGGAAGTAGATAGGAGGAGTCAAGATGGAGAGTCTGGAGAAGGTAGAACCCCCAGCCACCTCTCCCTGGTAAGACCACTTGGAAATACATAGAAATGGGCTAATAATTAAGACAGAGCTAGCTGATAAGAAACTAGTACCTGGCCAATAGCATAATATCAAATACAGAGTCTGTGTGCATTAATTGGGGCTGGCGCGGCGGGGTGGCAGGACAAGACAAGAGACAGTGGGCAGAAAAACCGTACTCCTTACAAATGGCACCCACTTGGCTTATAAGAACTTCCACTTAAAATTTAACAAAAGCTTAAAGAGTTTTAGAAACAAAAGAACAGAGACAAGCAAGGTTTCTTGGTAGCAGCATTTTTCTCAGTTGGACTCTGACTTGCGAGAGACAAGCAGATTATGCGGCTCCTTTAAGAGAGGTTTCCTGACTCAGCATAAGCGGCAAAA